TCTAGCCCGGGCAACACAGTGAGACTCTGTCTCAAAAAAAAAAAAAGAAAAAGAAATGTGCTGTCATCCAGGCTTTGTTGTTCCATTTCTAGAGCATAGGCAAAGTAGATTTAGCATAATTCTCAAGGGCCTTAAGGATTTTCACAATGGTAAATGAGCACTGGCTTCAACTTAAGGTCATCAGCTGCGTTAGCCCCTATCCTTTGAAGGTTTGAAGCCAGGCATTGCCTTCTCCCCTCTAGCTTTGAAATTCGCAAATAGTATCTTCTTCCAATACAAGGCTGTTTCATCTATATGGAAAATCTGTTGTGTAGCCACCTTCATCACTTATCTTAGCTAGATCTTCTGGATAACTTGCTGCAGCTTCTCCATCAGCACTTGCTGCTTCACCTTGCACTTTTATGTTCTGGAGATGGTTTCTTTCCTTAAACCTCATGAACCAGCCTCTGCTAAGCTTCAGACTTCTCTTCTGCAGCTTCCTCGTCTCTCTCAGCCTTCGAAGAATTGAAGAGAGTTAGGGCCTTGCTCTGGATTAGACTTCGGCTTAAGGGAACGTTGTGGCTGGTTTGATCTTCTATCCAGACCACTCAGACTTTCTCTATCTCAGCAATAAGGCTGTTTCGCTTTCTTATCATTTGTGTGCTCACTGGAATAGCACTTTTTAATTTCCTTCAGAAACTTTTCCTTTGCATTCACAACTTGCTAGCTGTTTGGCACAAGAGGCCTGGCTTTCAGCTTATCATGGCTGTCTACATGCCTTCCTCACTAAGCTTAATCATTTCTAGCTTTTGATTTAAAGTGACAGACATGAAACTCTTCCTTTCACTTGAACACTTAGAGGCAATGATAAGGTTATTAATTGGCCTAATTTCAATATCACTGTGTCTCAGGGAATAGTAAGGCCCAAGGAGAGGGAGAGAGGGGAATGGCCACTCGGCGGAGCAGTCAGAACACACACATTTATTGATTAAGTTTGCCATCTTATATGGGTGTGGTTTGTGGCACCCAAAACCAATTACAATGGTAACATCAAAGATCACTGATCACAGATCACTGTAACAGATATAATAATGATGACAAGGTTTGGAAAGAAGCTACTGCAACAGGAGGAATTCTAAGAATTACCAAAATGTGATACAGACACAAAGTGAGCACATGCTGTTGGAAAAATGACACTGATAGACTTGTTTGACTCAAGGTTGTCATAAACCTTCGGTCTATAAAAATGCAGTGTCTGCAAAGTGCAATAAATGAAGGGCGCCTGTGTGGCTATGTGCTCCAAGCTCCCCCGCGGGGATCTCTGCCTCTCCAGAGCCCGACTCTCAGGTCGTCCTCTCTGCGACCAGCCTTGGCCCGGAGGAGGGGTCTGGCAAGGAATAAACAGTTGGGAATGAATTTCAGCCCTTCATAGCTTTGGGGGAGATAGGAAAGAATGAAGAAAAATTTTTGATTACTTTAAAAACTTAACTGTCGTCATTCTCAAATTTGGGTTGTCAACAGTAGATTTTGTGTTTCTGATCTGCCTGTGTCTTTTGGTCTATAAAGGCTTCTGAGAAAGTGTTGTATGTATTCACTGTCCCCAACATTTTATTATCCTTCTTCCCTTCAAAATCAGTTTTCCCCCCAAGGCTTCCAAATGTTTAGGGTTGTTCCACGACCCAGGCTTTCATGTCCCCTTCTAGGAAGGAGTTCCTGAGGCAGAGGCGGGCAGCCGTGACCCTCCAGGCCGGGTGGAGAGGCTACTGCAACAGGAGGAATTTCAAGCTGGTGAGAGAGCTCGCAGGGTAAATGTGTTAACTGTCCAATAACAGGCAAATTTTTGGAGTTTGTTTCTCTGAATGAGAGATTCAGGAGGGAAGAATCAAATCACCCACAGATGCGCTCAGACCTCAGCCCTCCACATTTTCCGTCTTAGCATAGTCTCTAGCCCTTGTGGCCTTGAAAGTGTTCTGCAGATTTGGGGCATCTCCAGAGCTAGACTAGGTGTCCTGCTCTGAAATGGAATAACGCCTATTCCTTCCTAACTACAGGCAACAAAATAAGTAAGTGGATTGGTTATTCTGTTTCAAACACTCCTGATTTTTCTCTTAACCACAGGCACTTGCTCAACAAGTGGACTAGAGCAACCATGGCCGCACCCTGGCGGGCCTCACTTGACCACTTGCCTTTGTCATGGATGTGACTGTGGTTGTGCCGTGGAGTGGTCACATCAGCACGACTGGCTCAGGCCTGTCTGCGTTCCATGCTCACAAAGGGCATAATAGTAGCTGACCTGTAGGGGAAGGTTCCTCGGAGCCTGTTGCTTTGCATGAGTCCTTTTATTTAATGTTAAACCAACCCTATTAGTCAAGGAACTGAGGCACGAAGGGGCTTGGTGGTTTCCCCAAGAGTACACAGTTGGTAAGCTCTAGAGCTGGGGTTTGGATGCAGGGCTGTGTGACTTCCCAGCCCTTAAGCTGGGAAGTTGGTCGTCAATGTGCCAGCAAGGCTCGTTGCAAGGGCCCAGGGGATGTTTGTAGCACAGAAGTGGATGTTCATCCATTTCTTATTTCCCTTTTATTTTAAAGCCGCCCCGTCAGATTAGTTTGGTGGAGCCGGCTGCAGGCCTCTATGCAGGTGTGCTAGCCCCTCACAAGAGGGCCGGGCTTGGTTGGCAGGTGTGAGAAACATTGCCTCTGGAACGCACTTGCCCATGTGAAATCCAATCCAATTCTCTCTGTCCATGGCCCCCAGGAGGCCACTTTATAATTTATGCTATTTCACAAATGCTCATTTAGCACTTACTTGCATGTCAGGCTGTGTTCTAGGTACGTTACAAGCAATAACTGTCTCAGTATGCCCGTGCTCACAGGTGCGTGCGATTCTAGCACCGGCCCTTTGCCAAAAAGCAGCTGACGCTAAGCTAATTCGCGAGGTCTCCTGGGGAATCACTCCCTGTTCCCCAGAGGGCCTTCTCACCCTTGAGCCCGCCTCCCTCTTGCTTTGGCAGATCCTCGTGGGCTTTGAGCGCCTGCAGGCCATCGCCCGGGGCCACCTGCTGGCGAGGCAGTACCAGGCCATGCGGCAGAGGATGGTCCAGCTGCAGGCCCTCTGCAGGGGCTACCTGGTGCGCCAGGAGGTCCAGGCCAAGAAGAGGGCGGTGCTGGTCATTCAGGCCCATGCCAGGGGCGTGGCTGCCCGGCAGAGCTTCCAGCGACGGAAAGCCAATGTAGGTGGTCACCCAACCACTCGGGCAGGTGGGGCCGGCAGCGGCCCAGGTGGGTGAGGGAAGGGAGGAGGGGTGAGCAGCCATGTGGCACTCTCACCAGAAGCCCCTTTGGAAAGTCCCCATCTTCAACCAAGACATTAAAAATTATTCAAGATTGCAGCAAGGATACAGAAGGCAAATTAAGAGGCACCTCCTGGGCTGAAAGACAAGGAGAGACAGCTCTTTCCTCTTTGGCTCTTCTGGCCAAAGTCAGTATTACTGTGGCCCATCAGGCCACCTGGGAGCCTTGGCCACCACCAGGGGCTTGCAGAACCTAGCATGGAGAGGCACAAGATCGGCAGGACAGCCTTATGCCTGGATCTTGGGGGTCGAGCTCCTTGGTCCCCTCCCTTTCGTCTTGGGGGTGATTTTTTGACAAGGGCGGTGGTTCCCCGGGAAGGCACAGGAGATCTTGGCCAGATGGGCTGTGAGAGGCCATTCCTGCTTGGAGGGGAGCAAGACCCCTGGTTACTGGGCTGTGGGTGACAGGTCCAGGGACAGAGAAACACCAAGGGGAGCTGCCCCGGGTCTGGGAGGCTGGGAGGACAGGGAGCAGGGGACAGCACCAGGATGCATCTGCCTGCATTTTGCACCTCGGTTCTGGGGTCCCTGGAGTTTGAGGTGACGCCTCAGGGGCCATGCGGGACCATGTGGGGCTAGGGACAAGCCAGCAACCTCACCTCTCGGGACCTCTGGCTTCCGCTGGGAAACGGAAAGCCCTGCTGGTTGACCTCTAGTCACCCTAGCTCTTAAAATCTACTATTTTAGAGCAAAATATGTTGATCTGGACTAATGAAGGCAGAATGAGGCTTACTAGCTTCTGGAAGGTGCTTGCCCTGTGAAGCAGGCAGAGCTGGGCCAGTGGGTGACCTTCCCCCCGGGGGTGTGTGCAGGCACTGCTGGTCACCCCAGCTGCAGAGAAGAAGAGCCAAAGCGCTCTGCCCGCCAAGAAGCGCAAGTCCATCTACGACACCGTCACCGACACGGAGATGGTGGAGGAAGTGTTCGGCTTCCTCCCTGCCATGATCGGGGGGCAGGAGGGCCAGGCCCCGCCATGCTTCGAGGTGAGACCAGCTGGCCTTTCCTGGGCTGGCTCCCGCTCCTTGAGAAGCCGAGCCCTGGCTCGGCGAGCTGCCGAGTGGTGGCCACGCGTGTGCTCTAGCCCTAGGGGGTCCCACGGTCCCACAGAGAAGAGGGGAGCAAGTGTGGGTTTCTGCCGTCAAACCTTTGCCACTGCAAGGCATCCTAGAGCCTTCACTCTCCGAACACGTCCACGCGGTCATCATGCAGCATTCCCCAGGCCACCCCCAGAGCGCCTTGGGGCTGCCATTCTGCAGAATGTGACCACGGCAGGGAGGGGGAGAAAGCGGAGTAGCAGCACCCCAGGGTGTCCTGTGTGGACCCACCACACCCCACTTGGGGGCCCTCCCGCCTCCTCACTCCGTGTAGCAGGTGCTGGGGCCCCTCAGGAGGAGCTGCTCCACGGCCCCCGCGACGCCCACCCTGCTGGTGGCCGGCCGGCCAGCTGGCTGCTGTCTGCGAGGACTACTGATCTGTGTTCTCCCTCACTCAGGATCTGGAAGCAAAGACCCGGAAGCTGCCTGAGGTTGACCTGGACACAGTCCCCATGGTGGAGGAGCCCGAGGAGGATGTGGATGGCCTGGCCGAGTACACCTTCCCCAAGTTCGCTGCGACTTACTTCCAGAAATCAGCCAGTCACACCCACATCCGGCAGCCCCTCCGATACCCGCTGCTCTACCATGAGGACGACACTGACTGCTCGGTACCCCGTGTTCTCTGGGTAGCTCAGGACACTCCCAGGGCCCGGAGTCCAAGCTGTGGTTCAGAGGGAACAAGGAAGGGGCCCCAGTGCTGGGAGCTGGGTTCCAGCCGGGCCTCTGTGTCGTTTCCCCAGGCCGCCCTGGCTGTGTGGAACGTCATCCTGAGGTTCATGGGTGACCTCCCGGAGCCAGTGCTCTATGCCAGGAGCAGCCAAGGCAGCTCGGTGATGCAGCAGATCTACGACACGCTGGGCAGGGCGAGTGGCGCCCAGAGTCTGCAGCAAGCAGGGTCTGCACAGGTAAGCAGCGTGAGGGCAGCAGGCAGGGGAGGGCCTGGCCCTGGGAAGCTGCACAGGAAAGGGAGACAGGTCCCGGAGCCCTCCCATCGGCACCTCCTACTGAACTCAGCTCCCGAGCCAGGGCACCCGGGTACTTACAGTGACGAATTGCACTCGGACACTCATGAATCCCACGGCATGCCCAGGACTCTTTGGATTATATAATCATTAACGGAGACAGTCCCCTGGACTCTGAATATCGCATTTGACTTAAACTGGATTCAAATGCATGCAACAGTAATAACAACAGCAGATGTCGTCACTGACCGGCAGCCTGCCATGTGCCAGCTGCTTCTCTTCACTCCCCAGGTGGCAGCGCGACAAGGTAGGGATTATTATGTTTGTTTATAGCTAAAGAAATGAAGAAGTGAAATCACTTGTCCCCAAATCATTGTGGACAGGTGTGCGGGACCTGGGCTTTGAATTGTTCTGCTATATTCAAAGACCAAGTTCTTTTTTTATTTTTATTTATTTTTATTTTATTTATATATATTTTTTGAGACAAAGTCTTGCTCTGTCACCCCAGCTAGAGTGCAGTGGCGTCATCATAGCTCACTGTAAGCTCAAACAGTGCTCAAGCAATCCTCCTGCCTCAGCCTCCTGAGTAGCTGGGACTACAGGTGCACACCACGATGCCCAGCTAATTTTTCTATTTTTAGTAGAGACGGGGTCTCGCTCTTGTTCAGGCTGGTCGCGAACATCTAAGCCCAAACAATCCTCCTGCCTCAGCCTCCCAGAGTGCTAGGATTATAGGCATGAGCCACTGTGCCCGGCCCAAAGACCAAGTTCTTGACCTGAGTTCTACCCTGCCCTCCGATGGAAAGTTAATTCGCATCTATTTTGGATCAGAAGTCCTACCTAAGGCCCAGTCGCATGCCATAATCCTAGTGGAACTAACCAAGGAATTATGCAGCAGTGACAGCACTTGGGCCCACCAGTGGCCAGGGCCCGTGACTGCCCCACACGTCCGGGTGCCTGGCCGGGCTCAGCTCGGATGCCTGTGGGGTCCTGTGTGCAGACTACCGTGTAGAGATCTGCAGCCCCGAGCGCACGGCCAACCCAGCCCAGGAAGTGCATGGGAGGTGCCTGGGCCCAGGCCGAGTCCTTGATCTCTGGAGGTGTGGGCTCTACCAGGGCATGTTAGGTATCTGTTGCTGCGTAACCAATTACCCCCAAATTCAGCAGCTTAAAATCGCACAGATTTATTATCTCACACAGTTTCTGAGGGTCAGGATCGGCTTAGCGGGATAGTTCTGGTTCAGGGTCTCTCATGAGGCTGCCGCCAAGCCGTCACCTAGGGCAGGACAGTCCACTCCCAAGATGGCTCACACATGTGGCCGAGGGCAGGAAGCCTCCCTTCCTCCCCACATGGGCTTCTCTGCCAGCTGCCTAAGCATCCTCACAACGTGGCTCCCCTCAGCATGGGCGATCCTAGAAGGAAAGCAAGAAGGAAGATGCAACATCTAGTCTTGAGGTCACGTGCCACACAGGGCGGGAACGTCAGGAGGCGAGGATCACTGGGGCACCTTGGAGGCTGGTGACTGCTCAGGGAAGGGACTCTGGGAGGCAGTCCGGCCACGCTGCACCTCCGGAGGATGGACACGGGGGAAGCAGGACTGGCTGCCTGGAGGTCAGATCTCAGGTTTTCCTTCCTGCACACATTTGTTAAGTACCTGCCACGTGCCCCACACACAGGGCAGTGGGCCGAGCCAGCCCTGCTGCCCTCTGGAGCTGGCCAGGTAGCGTGTCTCTCAGTCAGCCCCCATGTGGCAAACCAGCTTTGCGCCAGCCAGAAGCTGGTGCCTGGCCCCAGACTGGGCTGATCTCGACCCATGTCCAGTCCCACACTGAGCTCCAATTTTGGCAGCAAATTCTTCTCATGACACCGTCATGACAACGTATAGCTTTTACCTAAGGAGACCACTAGATCCTAACAGCTGGGGGCAAGCCCCGCCCTGCCTGGACGCCAGCTTGCAGCCTGGGCTCTTCTGACCCCCTGGCAGAGCTCTCCTGGCAGCGGGCAGAGCCTCCTCTGATTCATCGGCCACATTTTTACTGAGTGCCATGGCTTAGGGCTGCCCTAAGCACCCGGGCTCAGACCCAGTTGGCCCCTGAGAGCTTAACTGGAGAGAGGCACAAGCTTTGGGATCAGAAGAACAGCCCTGAGCCCATCCCAGAAGGATGGTGAGCAGCTTTTGTCGAGTCTCTTGCCATCCCTGGGCCTCCTTTTCCTCGCCCGACAGCGAGGGTGGCGATGTGCACCCGTGAGTGTTGGGAAGCTCGCACGGTGCTGGCGCTCTGTAGCTGAGGCCAGGACATGTCTGGATGAGAGGGACACTCGCTCCCTGCTCTCCCCATTGGCTGCAGGGTCAGCATCACCAAGGTGAGCCCAGGCGTAGGACAGCCCCGAGCCACAGTCATTCTTGAACTGTCCCCTTCCACAGAGGCCCAGCCGCAGGGACAGAGGAACCAAGGAGATCTCCTCCATGAAGCTGACGCGATCCTCCCGGGTCACGGGCCAGGTGAGCCCAGGGCACAGAACCTCAGTCTGTCCCAGCAGGGTTCCAGGCTGTGGCTTCCCTCCCCTTGCACCAGTTTCCTCCTTGGCAAGTGCGGAGAATCACGGCCGTCCTGATGGCCGCCTTTGGGTTTCAAGGTGGCCAGCCAGCTGAACACCGGAGAGGAGGCATCTGAGCCCAGTGGCCCTGTCACAGACCGCCCCATGTCCAACCTGGAGAAGGTGCACTTCATCGTGGGCTGCGCCATCCTGCGGCCTGGCCTCAGGTCAGTGCCCACCCCCGCCCACCCCATGCACGGCGTCAGAGCCCCTCACAGGCTCCCAGCCCAGGGCCACACCCTCCCTGCCCACGAGACGCCCCCCGTCCTGGGGCCTGAAGGCTGGTTCTCAGGACAGCAGGTGTTACCGTCACCCAGGCTTCTCTGCTCGCTCTGCATCAAGGAAACCACGTGGGAAAAACCCAGTCAGGAAAACACATTCATCGCGGGCTGGCGATTGACCTGGGACAGGCTGTCACACAGGGCCCGGTAAATGAGCAGGTTCCTCATTTGCAGTATTCATTTCGCTTTCGATACAACTGGGCTTACAGGAGCTGCTTGGAGGGAATCTGCGAGGCGAGCCTGCGGGCACTGCTTCCCCACCGCGGCTGGCTGAGCTGGTAGATTGTGTCTCCGCGGCGCGGAGCGCCGACTGCGTGCTGCCTTCGGGGACAGACTACTGTATTTTAGGGGTTCACTTACTTTAAGTTAATATTTTTAACCAAATCTGAGAAAGTGTTGGTCATTATTTGTTCAAATAATTTTTTCTAGCTCATTCTCTCTCTTTTCCTTCAAACTCTCATTAAACCGTGTGAGCTGTTTTGAGACCGTCGCGGGCCCCGAGGGTCTGCTCGCCTTTTCTTCTTTCTCTTTTTCTCTGTTCTTTAGAGTGGGTCATTTCTACCATCTGTCTTCCAATTCACTGATCTTTCTCTGTCTTCCCCAACCTGCTCTTATACCCACCTAACAAATGTTTTATTCCAGATATTGTATTTTCAGTTCTAGAATTTGCACTGGGATCTTTTTCACATTTTTGTTTCTCTGCCAAGATTTCCTACTGGCCCACTCAGCGTAAGCACGGCTTTCTTCGTGTCCTTGAGCAGAGTCACAGTAGTTGTTAAACCTTTTCTGCAGATGTACTCTCTGGGTCACCTTGGGGTCAGTCTGCATCAGCTGCCTTTTCTCGTGAGGGTGGCCGTGCCTCCTGTTCTCCCCCGTGTCTGACACTTGGCTGTTGCCTCCTCACGGGTCTAGCACTTTGGGACTGTCTCCTGGACAGTGAGGGTGGTACGTCTAGAGACCCTGGATGCTGTTATGGCGTTCAAAGAGCGTTGACTTTTTGTTCTGGCAGGTGATTAGCTTGGCTGGACTCAAATTCTGTCTGCCACGTGGTGGGCTGCAGCTGGGATCCCTGTGCAGCTATTTCGCCTTAGCTGGTGACATGGCATCTGCCCGGCCATGCAGGGCTCCCCCTTGCTACCCCACCACAAAGGGTCAGCCAGAGATTTAGGATTTTACATGAACAGTTTCGGACTCCCCTTCGCTGGGTCTCTTCGTTGCAGGATTCCTGTCTCACTCGCAAGTTGCACAGTGCCCCAGACTCAGCCCTCTGGTGCTCCAAGCCAGCAAGACCACAGGGCTTCCCGTCAAGTTTAGCCGCCCGCACCACACCAACGGCCAGTCTGCTCACTTAGCTGCTTCTGTTGGTAGTTCTCTCGTGCTTAATCTTCACTGGCCACCACACCCTGCTCCACGGCACACACGTAAAGGTTGTGTCAGAATGAGGTGTGCTGTTGGCTCTTTGGATACCCCATAGGCACTCCCTACGGAGTGGTGTCCAACAGTGACACCCTCACTAATCCCGTGAGAGCTCCTGCAGGCTCAAGCCCCCAGTGAAACATCCCACAGCCTCCTACTGCTGGAGTCTTCTGGAATAATGGGCTGCCTGCTTATGTGGGGGTCCTGTCTAGATGCCTGAAGCCCAGCTCCTTCCACGCATCCTCTTGGCCGGCAGGAAGCTCATGCTTGCCCCACTGAACACTGCGTGTGCAGCTCCCATTCCTGAGTCTTCTCTCTCCACCTTGCCCTGGGCTTAGAATTCTCCAGGAGGAAGCAGACACTGGCCTTTTTTTCCATGGATGTCCCCAGCTCAGGGGACACAAGTCAAGCAGTGGGAAGAACACTGTCACCAGGTTCCCTTCCAGCACCCTGGGGGAGGGCAGTGGGCTTCTGGGGCTCAGTGTGCCTCCCCTGGGACGTGAGAGGGTCTCATCTCTGACAGGCCCGTCCCTATTGGCAGTTCTCCTGGGGTCCCCCTCACAGCCCCCCATCACTTATGGGGAGTAGAAATGGGCCACAGATCTCTCTACTCCCACGAAGTCCCTTCTAGGAATCACCTTCCAAATTTCTCATCTTCTCTCACGCAGCCTAGAGGCGGCATGGTGGCTAGTTGTGTTCTGCTGCTTTTTAGCAAATTCTACAAGAATATTGGATGTTAGCATCCATTTTTCCGTGGCTCTGGGATCTAGCCAAATTCTGAGACAGAAGAAATGTGCTATTCCATGTCTGTCCCACATTCAACACACACTTTTTACGTATATAAGCCCTGGCCTGAGGTCTGGGCATGTGGAGATGAAGATGACATGTGTCTACCCCAGGAGCTTACCCTCTAGTTGGGGACAGGAGAGGACCAGGAAATCCACAACGGCAGCTTGAGCATCTTAGTACGTTCAGGGTCCAGTGGGGGCACCAGGGAGGGGTGGTCTTAGTGCCCTCCTGGGGTGGCCCCCAGGCAGAGGGAAAGGGAGAACAGCTCACCTTTGACATGGCCTGAAGGAGTCTGGAATTCTCAGTGGTTTGTCACAGCTGCGTCATGGAGTTCAGATTCAATTCTAAGGGAAGTGGGAAAAGTTTTAAGCAGCAGAGGACCATGATCATAGCTGACTTCCAGAATGATCTTCCTGGCAGTCACATGGTGGGTGGAGCCTGAGGGTAGGAGGCCAGGCAGGGGCGGCTACAGAGGTCCAGGGAGAGCTGATGAGGGATGGCCCAGAGCTGGGGACAGAGAAGACATCCCGGAGAGAGGTGGTAGGATGTGGTGGCCGGTTGGATCTGGGGGATGAAGAGATGGGTCTAGAATGACCCCAGATTTCCAGCCTGGGTGGATGGCTGGTGGTGGTGTCTGTGGGCTGTAGAGAGGACGTGTGCTGGGGCTCAGGGCAGCCAACTGTGTGCATCTCTTCCCGGCTCTGTGTTGTGACATCATGTTGGCAGCTTGAAATTGGCCTTGGTGGTAACATTTACACCACAGAAATCTGCAAATACAATGAATTGGGGCTTTTTTTCCCCAGGGAGAGTTGGTTGATAAATATTTACCCGCACACCACTGATTACTGGAGGAAAAGTGCGGCCTCTGGATATTTGGGGTTTGAGGCACTAATGGGACACTCCTTTAAGATGATTGAGGCTTGAATTGGTGGGAGGATCCAGGAGAGGCTCCTTGCCAAGAGGTGACAGAGGGGGCAGCTCATGAGCCCATGGGAATGGCAACGGGAGCGGGTCAGGAGGCGAGAGGGCAAGGGGTTCTCTCATGAAGGCCCCACTTCCCTGTCCGCGCTCAGGGAGGGAGAAATCACTGCCTGTCCTAACTGCAGGGTTGGGCAGTGGAGCGGGCAGGTCATGTAGACGGTGCCCCCACCCTGAGGGCCGGTGCAGAGAGGGCTGAGGCAGCACGTGGCAGGGGTGCTGAGGGCAGAGACGGAAAGGGAGGATCAAGGGCTGGGCCTCGGTGAGGCAGGAAGCCACGGGGGCGCAAGCCTGGGGAGAGGCAGTGGCAGTCCTCGGAGGTGAGGAGGCTGGGTGGGGCACGAGGGCTGAGAGGCGCCCCAGGGTCGGGTCCCCCAGAGGGGCAGAAGGACCGTGAGCCCGGGCGCCCCTGTCTCCTCTCCTGCCAGCCCCAGCCTGCCCTCCCAGTGGTCTGTGTCTTTCAGGGATGAGATCTACTGCCAGATCTGCAAGCAAGTCTCGGAGAACTTCAGACCGAGCAGCCTGGCCCGGGGCTGGATCCTGCTCAGTCTCTGCCTGGGCTGCGTCCTGCCCTCCGAGAGGTTCATGAAGGTGGGGCCCGGGGCAGGGGCAGGTTATGCTGGGGCACTGGTGGGCCCCGGGGCCTGGCCTGGGTCTCCTGCCCCTGCGAGCCAGGATGGACAGCAGTGCCTCTGGGCCTCAGTTTCCCCATCTGTATAAAAGGACACTGCCCCTGGCTCCTTCCAGCTCCTATCCAGGGTCTGCAGGGCCAACTGCACTTTGGCTTAGGCGCCAGGACGGCTCTTCAAGACTGAAATGGAATGGCAGATGAAGAGTGGCCTGAAAAGACAGGTGTCCCAGGAGTGGGCCCCTCCTGGAGCTGGGCCGTGCTGCCTCTGTCTCGTCCTTAGAGCTGGAAATGGAGGTGGCTTAGCAGGTGCTTCCAAGCGTTGGAGGCCCCGGGCCTCACTGTTCTAATGTATTACAGCTTTTCGTTCTGATTATAAAAGTGTGGAATGCAGAAAGTTCAAAACGAAAATCAAAGTCATCCCCACACCCAGAGGTCACTTCCATTTAATATTTTCTTCTGGCCTTTTGTGGTGTTACAGTGTCATACTTGTGATCATGCAGAAAACACTTCTTCGCGTGTCCTCTTGGGGACAGCAGGACCCACGGCCACCTGGCCATCTCCCCAGGCACTCGGGCAACTCACAACACCAGTAAACCTTCCAGGCTCTACCCCCCACCCCAAGGCAGGAAGGAACAAAATCTCTGAGACAAAAAGATCGTCAACACATTTTGTCAAATGTGTTTTGGACGTTGACTCATCTGCATTTTTCACTTACGTCCATGATGTTTTCTCACGGCGTAAACCTTCCCGATGCCAGCGGTAACGCCTGGCTCCGCACAGAGTACTGGACTGGGGGTGGACATGCGGGGTCCATCTTCCAGTCACTCATCACCATAGCTACCGCTGTGACCATAAGTGTATATCTACCTTTAGGGTAGGTTTGAGTTATTGGGCTCTGGAATGATGCACTATTCAAACATACTGCCAGACTGCTCCTCAGAGACGTACTGAACTGTATTTCCCCTCACGAGGTGTGTGTGCTCGTCTGAAAGCGTCTTTATAAACTGAGTATCATGGTTTTGAAAATCGGAGTGGGCAGTAAGTAGAAACTGGCCTTCATCCTGAGCATCTGCCTCTCTCCCTTCCTCGCCCCCCAGTATCTCCTGAACTTCATTGGTCGGGGGCCGGCGGGTTATGGGCCCTTCTGCGCTGAGCGCCTGAGACGCACCTACGCCAACGGGGTGCGTGCGGAGCCCCCCACCTGGCTGGAGCTGCAGGTAGGGGCCAGCAGGGGTGGGAAGTGGGCGGTGAGGGGCAGTGCAGGCTGCAGGCCCCCCTAGCACAGCTAGTGGGGTGCCTTCTCCCAAGATAGGACCTTTGTCCTCAAGCTCCTCTGTCTCCTCTGCATTACCTCCCAGGCCAGTGGTCCCTGGGAGTCCCCACTTCACGGGGCGCGGCCTCCCCAGCCTTCAGAGGTGCCTCCACCTCTAGATTTCAGGGCCCGCCTAGCTGGAGGGAAAGATACGTCTGACCCACTCAGCAGCACCACGCTGGGCCAATTGCTCCAGTGTCACCCCTCCCGGGGCATTAGACTGTGAAGAAGGCAGTGGTCACACCAAGGCTGTTGTCCTTGGTGGCAGGCGCTGCCTCATCCTGCTTTGGCAGCTGTGTCGCCTGTGAGTTGTCACAGTATCCTCAGGAAGGGTCACTCAGAACAGCCAGGAGGGGTCCCTGCACCCTGCTCTCCCCACAGTTCTGGTCCAGGCCCAGCCTGGAAGGTGCTCATCTCTATAACCCCGTGGTGCCCTATCCCAGGGGCTGCAGGTCACCCCTGTGAGTCTAAGTCACCTAACCTCACCAACCTCAGCGTTCTCATCGAAAACTGGGGCTGTGCCAGCTGCAGGCGGCACCCCTGGGGCTGCCGAGGTGGGCCTGGAGAAGCACCCAAATGGCTGGACTAACACTGCTCTTGCCCGACGGCCATCCTCCCATAACAAAGCCCTGTTGGCCTGAGCTTTGTTCTCCATGCCGAGCTGTGGCCACGTGGGAGCCCGGGGACCCCACGGGGAAGGGCAAGCGGGGGCAGTGGATTGGGGAGAGAGGGCTGGGGGGTGAGGACTGGCCTCTGGTCTGCGGGTTCCAAGAGCTCACAGGCAGGCAGCTGAGCCCAGGGGCCTGAGTCTCCCTCTGCCCCCAGGCTGTCAAGTCCAAGAAGCACATCCCGATCCAGGTCATCATGGTAACTGGGGAAAGCTTGACCGTCACCGTCGACTCGGCCTCCACATCGAGGGAAATCTGCCTGCACATCGCCCGCAAGCAGGGCCTCAGTGACTACCTGGGCTTCTCCCTCCAGGTCGCCGTGTACGACAAGGTACTGACCAGGCATCGTCTTCCTCCCCACGCACCTGGGCAAAGCACCCCAAAGCTCGAGCCCTCACACCTCGCCAGCCTGGCCCCGGCTGGCCCTCCCGGCCACCAGACACACACGCAGGCAGCCCGTCCTCCTGCCCACACCCTCACATCGTCGGCCCAGCAGCTGCACCTGGGACCCAGCCGTGCTCCACGCATACCTCGTCAGTCCACCCGGCAGCACACGCACGGACGCCAGGCGCTCGCACCACTGCCCTGCTGCCCCCTCCCTCACGCCGGGAGCTGCAGACGCCCTGCAGCAGACACGGAGGGGTGCCCCAGCAGAGCCCACCCAGACACCCAGTGGGGGTGTCCCGCACACTCAGACACACTCACACCCATCGGCCGCACCCATCTGGGAGGAGTGGGGCGGGGGCAGGCCATGCCCGTGAGGAGAAGCCCTCAGGTGTCCACGTGGAACCCACACTGGGTCCTGGGTCCCGGTCTCTGTTCCTCGCATGCGGGTGCCGAGGGCGGGCATCCCCGTGGGTGGGGTGCACAGCAGCCACTAACCCTGCCGCCCCTGACTGTGGCCTCAGTTCTGGTCCCTGGGCAGCGGGCGCGACCACGTGATGGATGCCATCGCCCAGTGTGAGCAGCTGGCCCAGGAGAGGGGCGAGAGCCAGCGCCAGTCCCCCTGGCGCATCTACTTCCGGAAGGAATTCTTCACCCCCTGGCATGACTCCCAGGAGGACCCCGTCAGCACCAAGCTCATCTACCACCAAGTGCTCCGCGGAGTCTGGTCCGGCGAGTACAGCTTCGAGAAGGTGAGGGGCCTCAGAAAGAGCACATTCCAGGTCCAGCCCGGGCTGTGGCCGTCGGAGAGCGCCCCACGGAGGAGGACCTGCTGGCGTCAGAGGCTGTGCGCAACGTGGAGGGGGGGAGGCCGAGGGCAGCGGAACGGGGGCAGGGAGGGGTTTATGGGGTGCAGGGGTGCTGCCCCTTCCAGGCCCGGCCTCCATTTCCTCCTCCCGCGGGCTGCAGGTTTGCCCAGGCCTCTGGGGCCGTGGTAGCAGCAGCAGGCAGGGAAGGCCTCCCAGTCAGCCCAGACCTACCTCGCCGTGGCCGCCCTGGTTACGGGGCAGCAAGGCCTGATGGTCAGGAGTGTGGCCTTGGAGCCCTAGGGTCTGAGTTCAAGTCCCACCTCCACCTCTTCCTGGCAGTGTGACCTTGGGAAGTGCTGTCACCTCGGCGAGCCTCAGGCCCTCACCTGGATGTGCAGGGAGGACTGAGAGCTCTTGCAGGGTAGTTGTGAGAATCGAGGGTGGCCGTGCACCTGCAGTTCTGGGAGCAGCAGGTGAAACCTCCTTGTGCCCAGTCAGGAGGGTGCTACTGTGGGGCCACGTGGAATGGGCACAGGCAGGGAGCCACAGGGGCGCTGGGCCCTGCGAGGTTTTGGTCTCTCTGGAACGGGCTGCTTGGATCCCTCCCTGTGCTGCGCCGTGCTGGGACCTCACACACGCTCCTGCCGGCTGAGTCCCTGCAGACTCCCTACAGTGGCAGCTGCAGGTCTCCCTGGACAAGCGAGGACTGGAGCTCAGACCAGGATAGGCCTTGCCCACCCTCACCCCACCCACAGCAGCAATGTCCGGGTTCCACCTAGGGGCTCAGAGAGGAGCACCCCAGTCCTCAGGCCAAGGCTGCCAGGATTCCCAGCCTGCCAGCGGGAGCGGGCCTGCGGAGGGGCCCAGGCAGGGCATATGGTGGTTCCGTTGGGGAAAGGGCAGGTGCTGCCTAGTGGAGGTGGCGGGACAGGGTGGCCGCCCATGTTCCCAGGTCCTGCCTGAGCAGCTGGCCAGCTCCGCCACGCTGGGGCAAGAGCGGGGCTGTGGCGTAAGGGCGTCCTGGGGAAGGGTGGGCGCTCACCTGTCTGCCCTCCCCCCGCCTCGCAGGAGGAAGGGCTGGTGGAGCTGCTGGCCCGGCACTGCTATGTGCAGCTCGGCGCCTCAGTGGGGGACAAGGCTGTCCGGGAGCTGCTGCCCGGCTGCATCCCCCCCAAGCTGTACAGGACCAAGCCCCCCGAGAAGTGGGCTAGCCTCGTCACTGCCGCCTATGCCAAGGTCAGCCTGCACGCAGCCTGGGCACTCCAGCCCTGAGCTCTCCTTCGGGCGGTGGGGCCCTCGGTGTGCAGAGAGATGGATCCCCTCCCCACATGCCCCAGCCACTGGGGGGCAGGAAGCTTAACCTTGACAGTTAAGCGTAGCCCTGCTTTTCAGATTCAAACAGTCCCACTCAGTTCAAATCCTTGTCACAGCCCTGTGCTGCCTTCTTCCTTCCCAGTTGGCATCTCGGGTGGGCCCCCATGCTGGTCCGTGCTGGGCCCTGGCCTCTAGGCATGAGAGTTCATCCACAGCTGCTGCCCGCTGGCCCTGCCATAGCCTCGGCATCGGTCCTGCCCTCGGGGGCTGCCCTCCTTGTCCCTGGGCCTCTCGGCGTCCCCTCACTGGGCGCATGGGAACCCCTGCCTCAGAGCGTGTGGATGTGCTGAATATTTGATACGTGTTGCGTAGCGCCAAATCGCCCTTCAGATGCGACGCATCAGTTTACGTTCCCAAAGCCAGCATGTGAATATTACTCAGCCACTTTTAAAAGTTGGAACAAGAGAAATAATGTTTTGTTCAACAAGGCGTGAAAAGCAAGTTCAGTTGGGTATTAAGAGCCAGTTTCGGACACAGCGCAGCAGAGGGGAGGGGAGAGGGAAGGTGGGGAAGAGTCCAGAAAGGAGGAAGGAAACCTGGGGACGAGGAGCTAGAGGGAAGGTTGAGGCAGGTCCTGGGCAGAGGCCGATACGCAGAAGAACTCCAGAGGAGACAGGCAGAGGGCGGCACTGAGGACACAGACGCAGCAAGGTGGCCCTGCTGCACCGAGCCAGACAGACCCGCAGGGGGGTGTCGGCAAGAGCGAGCCCAAGCGCACGTGCGCAGACACGTGCAGCTCCTGTGCTGAGCCCCGCCCTGCGGCTGTGGCACCCCGATGAAGAAGAGGGGAAGGCCTGCCTCCCTCCCCAAAACCACCTCCTAAAAGCGCACCCAGGGTTCAGCAGGGTGCACTAGTCCCCGGGAAGTACCCGGGGGCATCCCTGGAGAGTCCTTCTGCAGGCACTGGCCTCGCTTTAGGTAGAGGCATCACAGTGAGCCACCAGCTCATCACCCTGAGCACTGGGCGGGGGATTAGCCAGGGGAGACAGGGCCACTGAGGTGATGCCCGCGTCCCCCACAGGCCCCGTACACCCAGACGCAAGCCGCACCGCTGGCCGTGCAGGAGCAGGTGGTGGACACCGCCTACCTGCAGTGGCCACTGCTCTTCTCCCGGCTCTTTGAAGTCACCACGCTCTCCGGTAATGGCACCAATGGGCGGGGGCAGGTGTGGGCTGGGCACCCTGGGGGCCGGCGTGACCTTCATACTGCTGTCTCCGCTGCCTAGGCCCCTGCCTGCCCAAGACCCAGCTCGTCTTGGCTGTTAACTGGAAGGGGCTGTACTTTCTGGACCAGCAGGAGAAGATGCTGCTGGAACTCTCTTTCCCAGAGATCATGTGTCTGGCCACCAACAGGTGGGGACCTTGAGGGAAGAGGTCCTCTCACAAACTGAGTTCTCGGAATTGGTGCATCTGGGGGCTCAGGGGGAGACAGCAAGAGGGGGTAGCATGTTGTCCCCGGAGCCAGGCTGGGGTGGAGGGACAGGGGTCATCGTGTGCTGCGGCCACTGGACTTGGGAGCCCTCCTGTGCCAGGCCGCACTGCCCGTTAAGCACTTTGTGCACTGCACATGCCCTGGCCTCTCCTCTTTGGGGTGCGGCTCCCCCCGGAAAGTGCGTGAAGCGAGCAGCCTCTCTGGCCACGTGCACTCAGCAGGCGCCTCCCTCCTCACGGGCGACAGCTGTGAGCTCCTCCAGGCCCTGTGGGGAGTCCTGTCCGATCCCTGCCGGACTCCCTAGGTAAAGCACAGCGAAGTGGGCATGGCCACGATAATTGTGGCCAGCGGGCTGTGCCCCTGTGGCTGGCCATGCCGGGCACTTTTGCGTGCCACGAAGCCTCGCAGCGCCACTCGTTCTGCAGATGCATGAACTGAGGCGCACAGCGGCTGGGGAGCGCGGCCAGGGTCCCGGGTTAGCACACGGCAGAGCCAGCAACTCGTCACAGCGCTCATGTTCTTTGCCACGACCCTGGTGTCCGTGTGGTGTCCCTGCACACCAGCCACCTCAGCACCTGCCCAGAGCCAGCCCCACACTCTGGGGCTTCGCACCCCTCCACTGCCTCTGAGGCCCGGGGGGCCCGAGGGGCCGTCATCTGCCCACCAACCACAGTGGTGCCTGGCCTGGCCCCGCCCCGGACAAGCCTCCCTGTTTCCTGGTCTGTAAGTCAGGAGGGGCTGAAGCGGGTGGGGGTGGAGGCAGCCCCTGGTCACGCTGCCTTCCTCCCCAGGGAGGCCCAGGGCGGGCAGAGGCTGCTGCTGTCCACGCTGCACAAGGACTACGAGTTCCTGTCCCCCAGCAGCGTGGCCATCGCCGAGCTCGTGGCCCTGTTCCTGGAGGGCCTGAAGGAGAGATCCGTGTACGCCATGGCCCTGCAGGACAGGAAGGCCACAGGTGCCCGGCAGGGTTGGGTAGGGCGAGGGACAGTGCTTGGGGTCCGTGGGAGACAGCAGGCTCCCTCCATGCACAGCAGCTGTGTGGCACAGAGCAGGGCTCTGGGGCATTGGGGGACAGCTATGGGCAAGGCCCTGGCTCTCTCGGCTACTGTTTCCTCTTCTACAAAAAGAGGGGGTTGAAAGAGGCGGTCCCAAGCTCCCCAAGGCCGGCCTTGCTCAGGACTGCACTGGGAAGGGTCGGCCCCACCCCATAGCCACTCTGCCCGTTGTGCAGATGAGGCACCAGAGGCTCAGAGAGGGAAGGAGCTGGCCCAGGGTCACGTAGCCCAGTGGGTGAGAGCCTAGTTCTCACCCACAGCTCCCCCGCAAGCCAGAGCTCCAGCCAGAGCTGGGCCGTGGGCTGTGGGCAGAGGGGCCAGGTGACAAGGCCCAGGACCTCCGCTGGCTGAGGCTGCTGGCTGCAAGCACAGGCAGTGGGCTGGCGCCATCAGTGCAGGGGCTTCAGAAGGGAGGGGCTCTTTGAGACACAGAGGAAGGGGCTGTGCGTGGGCCTTAGAGTGGTGAGAAAATCAGCCCAGGACGCTGCCCTGTTGCCCACTCCGTCCTCGCCATCTCCCCAGAAGAGAGGGATCATTGCTGTCCCCATTTTACAGAGGAGGAAGTGGGCTAGGGAGCGCACTCCCCAGGGCTGGGGCCACGGCAAAGCCCCTGAAGCCCTGCCCACCCTGGGCTCCACACCTGGGCAGGTGCAGCAGGTGACAGCCCTCTGGGGCCCCAAGGTTCCAACCCCACTGCCACTCACACTTGGAGTGGCCTCGTGCCATGGCTCTGTGCCTCCCTTTCCTCGTTTGTCCAAGGAGACAACTCCTGAAGTGGCAGCACAGCCTCTGGCCCCTGCAGAGCCCTCAGCAAATGGATTTTCTGTCCCTGTGCCCTGGCCTTGCAGATGATCCCACTCTCCTGCCCTTCAAGACGGGGGACTTGTTGGTCCTGACAAAGAAGCAGGGACTTCTGACCTCTGAGAACTGGACCCTGGCTCAAAATGACAGGACGGGCAAGACAGGGCTGGTGCCCACGGCCTGCCTCTACGCCATCCCCACGTTGACCAAGCCCTCGGCGCAGCTGCTGGTATCTCGCAGCATGGGGGGCGGCGCTGGGATGCCCAGCTGGGGGCCTAGCTCAGGGGCCTGCAGCCCACCTGGCAGAGGTCAGCCCTGGGGGTGATCGTGACGCTGGCACAGTGTGTGTACAGTGCCCAGCCCAGCACTTGGCACTTAGTAGGTGCTCAATAAATGGGTGTTCCCTCCCTCTGCCCCACCCTGGGTGCGTCCTGGAAACATACCCAGCCTTTCTCAGCCTCTGCCTCATTTGCACCCTGACCCGAAGGGGCCCAAGTGTCCCTGCCCCAAGAGCCACCTGTCCAGCCCCCGAGACCAGCCTCACAGGGAGGCGGGGAGCAGGTAACAGGGTGCATCCCCACGGGGTGATGTGTGTGCTGGAGCCTGAGCTGGGGCACCGGCAGGCAGGGCTGGGTAGGTGGCCCTGAGGAGAGGCCCCTGGGGAAGGGGACCTGAGGTCTGAGAAACCCAGAGTGGCTGTGACCCCTGCAACAGGAGGTCTGGGATCCGTAGCCATTGGCACTAACGCTACTAAGGGAAAGGAAACAGGCCCTGGGCGGTTGGGTCACGGTCCTGGGTCACACAGTGGGCGACGCGGGACTGGGTAGGCCCCGGCCTGTCCAGCGCTGGGTCTGACGCCTCCTGCATCACGGAGGCAGCCAGGCCAGGAGGCGCCTACGGGAAGGGCCTGGTGGGCAGCGCCTCCTGGGCACCCACAGGCCTGTGCCCCTGCAGAGCTGGCTGGCCGTGTCTCCAGAGAAGCGCAGGCTGGCAGCCCAGGAGGGGCAGCCTGCACGGCCCCCAGCTGCGGAGCAGCCCTGGGAGGAGCCGCACACCCTGGAGGAGTTCGCCTATGAGTTCTTCAGGTGCCCGCCTGCCCTCGGTGCCCGCGGAGGGCTGCAAGGAAGCCTCCCAGGGCGAGGGGGTCCAGGAGGGCTCCTGGCAGGGAGGGGCCGCCCTGACCCTCCCACAGCCATCCCGGGAGGTTGGACAGAGGACAGATAAGCGTGGGTCAGGGAAGGCCTCACAGCAGGCCCTCACGCTGGCCTCTGTCCCTGACAGGGCCCCAGACAAGGGGACGGTGAGCAGAGCCGTGCTGCCGCTGGCCCGCACCCGGGGCCACCTGTGGGCCTACTCCCCTGAGCCACTGCGGCAGCCGCTGCTCAAGCGCGTCCATGCCAGCGCTGACCTGCGGGACATTGCCTGCCGGATCTTTGTGGATATCCTTCCCCAGCCGGCCTGCCCTGGCCGCACGCCAGCCCCACAGACACGGGCACCCCAGTTCCCTGCAAGCCCCACAGCTGCCCCGTGGGGGGCCAGGCCTCACCTCACGGAGCGCCAGGCAGAGCCCACACGCAGCTCTCAGTGTGGGGCTGGGGACAGCGTCAGTGTGGGGCTGGGGCCAGTGCCTAGGCCTGGTCAGGGGTCAGCTTGGGGCCGCCCCCAGCGCCATTCTCCTTGACAGCCACACCCATCCTCAGGTACATGGGTGACTACCCCTCCCGGCAGGCCTGGCCCACCCTGGAACTCACCGACCAGATCTTCTCATTGGCCCTGCAGGACTCGTCCCTCCAGGACGAGGTCTACTGCCAGATCCTGAAGCAGCTGACCCACAACTCCAACAGGTCTGCTGGGGACAGCGGGGTAAGGGTGCGTGGTTTTCATCCCAGCCCCTGAGGCTGGGGCCGCTCAGACGGGAAGCTCCTGGCGGCTGAAGCCCTGCCCGGGCGCCTCCGGCAGCAGAGGGAAGGGCTGGGCCTGGTCTGCTCTGCCGACATACTGGGGTGGTCAGAGCAGGAGGGAACAGCCCTGCTCTGGCCTGCCCGCCCCCACCCTCTCTCCGTGTGACCTAAGTGGGCTGTGGCCTCTCTGAGCCTAGTGTTCTCGGCGCAAATGGGCAAAATGGGCACAATGGCCTCCTCCCCGTTGCGAAGGTGGGAAGCCCTGTGGCGTCGGGCAGCTAGACGTGGGCTGGCGCGCTGCAGCCTTGCTGGTGCCCATCCGCGTCCTCCTCCGTGGGCCCTCCAGGCCTCATGTCCCTGCTCCCCGAGGTGCCTGCCTGGTCTAGGCCCTGGAGAGAGCCCTTCCCTGCTGACGGGCACCACCCCCAGGCGCAGCGAGGACCGGGGCTGGCAGCTGCTGTGGCTCTGCACGGGCCTCTTCCCGCCCAGCAAGGCGCTGCTGCCCCATGCCCAGAAGTTCATAGACACCCGGAGGGGGAAGCTGCTGGCCCCTGACTGCAGCCGCCATGTCCAGAGGGTCCTGAGGTGAGCAGCCACCTCCACGCCCTCGAGCATTGGCCCTGGGCCACCCAGGGGCTCCAGGTCCGGGGACCCTCACCAAGAGGGGGGACTCGGCATCCTCTCCAGAGGCTGGTGTCAGGTTGGGGAGGCAGGACCAGGTCCCGAGATCCTGGGACGAAGGTTGGGGGTGGCCCAGGAGGGAGGCCCGGGTGGCCCAGGAGGCCTCAGTGGAGGCTCCTGGCAGGCTCGGGCACAGCCACCAGCCCCTGCCCCACCGCTGCCTGCCCAGGGTGCAAGGGAGCTGCCTGGAGGCCCCAGCCCAGCTCCAGGGGGCCGAGGTCAGAGGCCTGTCCCCTGTCCCGCCCACATCAGGAGGTGCTTCCTTGGCCGTCTTCGTTCTCCCCCACTGGCCGCCTCTGCTTGGCCTCCTGCGGCTGTGGGGAGGGTGGGCTGAGCACAGGAGTGGCCAGAATTTCCACGGCAGCTGAGGGCATGGAGGGAGCCGGACGCTCTCAGAGAGGCCCCGTCCAGCGCCCTGTTGCACGAGAATGAGAGCACAGCCTGGCCACCCCCAGCACCTCGCCCAGCGCCCCTGGCCTGGGCCCTCCCCGTGTGTCATTCGGGGCTGACGCCAGGCCCACCTCCTCTGTCGCTTCCTCTGGGGCCACGTGCGAGCCCGCCAGGCAGGGGCAGCCCTGGGGAGCGTGAGGGGCTGGGACCATCCCAGCAGTGGTCACGGGTATTTTTTCTTTTGTCTCTGGCACGTGGTTTAGGGCCCGCCTAGAGGCCGGGGCTGGGGGTGGGCGTGGGGTGGCCTCTGCAGCCTGCACTGTCCCGTTCAGGATGGGGCCCCGGAAGCAGCCCCCTCACCAGGTGGAGGTGGAGGCCGCTGAGCAGAATGTCTCCCGCATCTGCCACAGGGTCTACCTCCCCAACAGCACCAGCGAGGTGAGTCCACCGCCCTAGTCCCCACAGCCAGTCTCAGGCCAAGGGAGGCGCAGGCAGCACCCCACCCACCCAGCATGCTCTTTGGCCACCGAGGAGAGCCGTTTTCAGGGTTTCCAGTGACCTGTCCCACCTTCACCACTCTCCTCCCCTCCTCCCCCGGGGTGCAGGCCCCGGCTGCCTTCAGGTGCTTCAGAAGTAGGGACTGCCCCAAGGTGGGAGTTGGGGGTTTCATGCCAAGGACACAGGACGGAAACCAGAAGGGTGGCAGCAAGGTTGAGTCTCAGGACTTGGGAGCCCCTGGGGGCTTCTGACCAACCTGGGCCACGGTGAGCAGGTGCCACCGTCGGGCGTGCCATGTGCACAGAGCACGCATGGCTGCTGCGGAGGACAGAGGGGACGGGTGGCAGGGGCGACCACCAGGACCCAACTGTGACACAGAAGCCTCTGCAAGAGGTGGCAAAGGCCTGCGGGCCAAGGGGGCAGAGGTGCACACTGCCACCTCGTACCCTGCCCAGCGGCAGCGTGGCCTTTGTGGGCTCGGGGCGGCCCAGTCCCTGTAACAGGAAGTTCCCACATCTGGCGGCCCGGCTCTCAAGGTAAGTTCAAGGCCAGGCCCCCAGGACGGCAGTGCTGGGACGGACCAGCATGAACCTCTGGTGAGGGTTCTGGAAGGGAGGCTTGTGCCTCTCAGGACAGAGCACATCTAGCACATGCTTCACGAAGGAGCCAAAGCACCAGGCTATGAGGGGTCCTCCAGGGCTGCACCTCGTCCCCAGATTGCCACCCCAGGAGCACCTTGGCCCCAGGCCGGGCTCTGGGCCTCACTGGCCGCCTCTCTGCCCAGATGCTGGAGGTGGGCAGCAGCACGCGGGTGCGGGATGTGTGTGACAGCATCGCCACCAGGCTGCAGCTGGCCTCCTGGGAGGGCTGCAGCCTCTTCATCAAGATCGCAGACAAGGTACGCCTGGGCCGCGGGAGGACAGCAGGCAGCGCTCTCCAGGGGTGGGCCTCAGCCTGCCCGGCGCGGCTGCGCTGGCCCAGGCCCTTCACTGCGTGGCCGGGGCTGTCAGGCGAAGGTAGGTGGGGTCTGGGAGACAGAGCCTGTGCCCCACCCCCGGTGGCACACAGGCTGACTCCAGCCGGACCCTGCCAGGCTGTAGGCCCCAGCGCCCTCCCAGCGGGACGGTCCCCGGAAACCACTCATCCGCCTGCCTTTCCGTACCTCTCCCTGCCCCAGGTCATCAGCCAGAAGGAGGGAGACTTCTTCTTCGACTCCTTGAGGCAGGTGTCTGACTGGGTGAAGAAGAACAAGCCCCAGAAAGAAGGTGAGGGGGTCCCTGTGGAGCTGGGGGGAGGGCGTGGCTGGGGCTGTGAGCCTCCCTGGGCAGGGTCACCTCCTGCACGGCCTGTGCCCATTCGTTCATCCCTGGTGTGTGGTGTCCCCTGGGTTGTGGGTACAACAGGCTCTGGGGCCAGGTGGTTAGGGCCTCGCAGCTTCGCAAGGTGTGGGGACAGGGCCAGGCCCGGGGCACTCGGCCGCACTCAGGGTGATGAAGTTGCACAGGGCCTGACCCCCACTCAGGCTCTAAGGAATTAGGGGAGCTTTCCAGGTGGGAAGTGGTGGGCAGGGAGGAGGCCGGGCAGGGCTGGCAACACCTGCTGGGGTAGGCTTGGTGCCCACTGCCGCCCCTGCCCAGGGGCCCCTGTGACACTCCCCTACCAGCTGTACTTCATGAGGAAACTGTGGCTCAATGTGGTACCGGGGAAAGACGTGAACGCAGACACCATACTTCATTACCACCAGGTAGTGGGCAGGCTGCCCTTCTGGTGAGCGTTGGGGACACCCCCTTCCTTCCCACACCTGCCCTGAGACGGAGGAGCCAGCAGGCAGGGGTAGGACCTGCCTTGCCCCGGGCACCAGCCCACGCGCAGCTCCAGCCTTGGGTCCAGGCTGTACCCCTGAGGGTTCTGAAACCAGGAGCAGAGGGCGGCAGCCTTTGGGGACAGTGACTACACTGGCACCTACAACACAACTGCGGGGAAGGGGAGGGACAGAGGAGTCCCCAGCCCCCGGAGCAGTGGCCGTGCCCTGAGGGACCAGCTACACACAGAGGGAGCAGGCCGCCGACTCCACGCACAATGCCAGGGGCCCTGCCCTGACTCAGGGTCACCCCCCGCCCGAAACTCCACGCTGGCGGGCTCAGCCTGTGGTCCAGTCTGTCCTGGATGGGGGGCTCAGCAGGAAGGAGGGGCTGGGGCAGGGGGGCCACAGTCTGAGGCCAGCGTGTCCACCACCCAGGAGCTGCCCAAGTACCTGCGTGGGTTCCACAAGTGCTCGCGAGAGGATGCCATCCACCTGGCCGGCCTCATCTACAAGGCCCAGTTTGACAATCACTGGTCCCAGCTGGCCAGTGTCCCCAAGATCCTGAGGGAACTGGTGCCTGAGAATCTCACGCGCCTGATGTCCTCGGAGGAATGGAAAAAGGTCCCTGACAGTGACAGCACTGGGGAGGAGTCCTCGGGCTGCTGCCCCTCCCAGAGACCCCACCCAGGCGCTGCCCTTGCCTAGGCGGAGGGCGGCGGGGACCTCGCCCGCTACAACTCCCCTGCGCCACCCCCAGCGCCGAGACCCTCCTCCCGCAAACCCTCCTCCGTCGGGTGGACAGGTACTGCCCCCCCAGGCCCTCACCAGCCTCCTCTTCCCCAGAGCATCCTTCTGGCCTACGACAAGCACAGGGACAAGACGGTGGAGGAGGCCAAGGTGGCCTTCCTGACGTGGATCTGCCGGTGGCCCACCTTCGGGTCCGCCTTCTTCGAGGTGAAGGTAGACCTGGCCCAGGCCCAGCCTCCCACCCACACGGGCCCACCCCGCTCTGCCCATGGCCCCAGCCTCTCCTCAGCACTTTTTCAGGCTGCAGAGTGTGTGTGCACGTGCGTGCGTGTGTGCATGCATGTGTGTGTGTGTGTGCGCGCGTGTGCGCGTGTGCCCTGGGCTCCGAGGAGGTGCTGCCTGGCCTCTCCCGGACTGTGACCACCATGCCTCTCCCTCCCAGCAAACCTCAGAGCCCTCCCACCCGGACATCATCCTCATCGCCATCAACCGACACGGGGTCCTGCTCATCCATCCCAAGACCAAGGTAGCTGCCTCAGGCACTCGGGGCCTCTGGCAGGGCTGGGGGACGCTCGTGCAGGTGGGGCTGTGGTCCCCTGCTCCAGCATGTCCCGCCTCCCCCCTGCGCCCAGCACAGACACGCACACACAGGGCCCACCGGCTGGGGCGGCCCTGCCCACCTTCCCCTCTGTCCCCAGGACCTGCTCGCCACCCACCCCTTCACCAAGATCTCCAGCTGGAGCAGCGGCAGCACCTACTTCCACATGGTGCTCGGGAGCCTGGGCCGCGGTAGCCGCCTGCTGTGTGAGACCTCCCTGGTGAGCCTAGCCCTGCTCCCCGCCCACACAACCGGGAGACACCGGGGCTGGGTTCTCGCCTCACCCCTGCCGCCCCCAGAGAGAGGCTGGCAACACTCCCAGGGCCCATGCTGGGGTGGGAGAGACTGGGCCCAGCAGTGCAGGCAGAGCGGTGGCCCCCGCAGCAGGCGCCCACCTTCCCTCTTTCCGTGCCTGCCCTGCCCAGCTGGTGGCTGAGGCAGAGAAGGTGGATGCCACCAAGTCGAGGACCCCCATCCGCCCTCCCTGCACCCACAGCCTCTGACCCAACCCTGCCGCCTGTCCAGGGCTACAAGATGGATGACCTGCTGACCTCGTACGTGCAGCAGCTCCTGAGCACCATGGACAAGCCGCGGGGTCCCCGGGCCCCAGCCCTGGCCAGCCCCTAGTGCCTGCTCAGTCGCCCTGCCGTGCTGCCCTCTCCCCAACACACAGACCACCTCAGCACCCCAGATGACCCTCTCTCCCGGGCGCTGGCCATGGAGGCCAAAGGAGGGGCCCACCCGGCAGAATGTTCAATAAAAATGCACAGAGCAGTGGGCGGGTGTCTGTGAGGGAGCAGGGGCGGGCACCAGGCGGGCACAAGGCCCGGGAGGCAGTGGCTTGCAGAGGGTCTCCAGAAAAAGCAAAAAGCATTGTGACTTCTCCAGGGACACTGGCGGACAACTGCGTTCCCCAGGAATAACTTCATTCTTTCTTTCTCCTGCTCTCCTCCCTCCCGTGCGTGCTCTACCTGGGGAGGGGGCATTCCCTGGAGTGTCCTCCCTCCTGGCCCTTCTGCACACCTGTCCTCCTCCCCACAGGGTGCTGGGGTGAGAGGACTGCTCGGGGCCAGAAAGGAGGCGCTGCTCTCCAGCCGCTAGCTTTGTGCTACGGCCGGCCTGTGCCGGGCAGTGGGCAGAGCTGGACATGGGGTCTTGGAGCCTGGGTTCCCTCCCACTAGCAGGCCCTGCCCAGCCTACCCCAACTCTGCCCACTGGGGCAGCCCCCAGGGCCGATGGTTCCCAGCTGGCTCCAGGGGCAGCCTGGTGCAGGACAGGGGCTGGGGCCACCGGAATGCTTCTGCCTTCTGATGTCTGTCTCTCTGTGTCCACCAACGCCAGCAGCGGTGTGTCCACAGGAACCACTGCCCACCCCCCGCCCCTCCCACCACAAACCACACAGGCCACTGCGGTTGTGTGAACGGCCTTCATTGTGCAAGCATGAGCCCCAGCGCCAGATCTGCACTGGCTACAGAGGACGTGTCCTCCCTGGAGGAGGGAGCGAACCACCCGGGCCTCAGCCCCCAGCAGCCCCACCCGAGGGCTCGATGCAGGCCCCGGGGCAGGGAAAGGGGGACAGAGGCAGGCAGCCCAAGTGGGATTTCAGGAAGGTCCCTGAGCGGTGGGTGGGGTCCTGGATCTGCAGGTGGCTGGCAGGTGGGTGTGGCAGGACTTGCTGGTCCAGTTTGGGAGCAGGGGCAATACTTGGTTGAGCAGTGTCGAGGGGCTGAAGGGTGTCCCCCAGAGGCCCCGTCTGCATGGCCTGGCCCTGTGGCTCAGGCGGGCCACCCTGGCCGTGCCACCCCAGATGGCAGCATGCACATAGCACGGCCACGCTGGGGCAGAGGCCCCCACAGGAGAGTGTGTGCCACCAGGACCCCTGCAGGGAGGGACAGGTCAGGACAGGCTCCTGGAGACCCGCAGGCGGAGGTGGCTGCCAGGAGTGGGCCCAGACCCGTCCCAGGCTCCCCTCCCAGACCCTGCCTCTGCACAGAAGGAAAGGGAAGGGCCCCAGCCAAGGACAGAAGGGACTTGGGAGGCAGAGAGGAGGAGAAAGGGGGAGGGAAGGCGGGGGCACACAGATAAACCGAGGTGTGGAGTACAAGGGCAGACGACCGGAGCGGGTGGCACGGAAAAGGCAGCAAGGGCGGGAGGAGCCGGCCGGGACGAGGCGGGCGGGCAGGGCCTTCAGGCCGAGTTGAGGTCCACAGACTTGGGCTGGGCCTTGCGGGAGGTCAGCTCCGACAGCTTCTTCAGCCGCTTCTTCAGCTCCAGCGGGAACTTCTCGTAGCACCTCTTGCACACGGGCTTCATGTCGAACTCCACAAACTTGTTCCTGGGGACAAAGCCTGGCACTCAGCAGAGCCCCTGCCCCACCAACTCTGACCCCAGACGGTGGCCTCGGAGACAGAGGAGTGGGCGTCCCTCGGCCCTCAGCCCCCGGCCTCTCCCAGCCAGCGGGACAGGCCTCAGGGTGACCTGGCCAGAGGGCATGGTGGATGAGGAGATGGGCCCCAAGCCCTCCCTTCCCTCCAAGAGGCTTCTCTGGGGTTCTGACCCAGAAGCCTCAATGGCTCCCCGCTGTCCTCAGAATCCTTGGCCCCATCTCTCCTGTCATGGCTCCAGCCATCCCACACCCCGCAAGGCTTCCCGGGCAAGCCAGCTGTCTGCGTGTGCTGCCGGCTGGGCTGGAACGCCCTTCCCTCCCCAGGGCCCAGGGTCCTCGCTGGTGTACCGGAGGCTCACGGGTTTCTCCTCCCCCCGTGCCCTGGGGTCCCAGACGCCCCCCTCTCCCTGGGCTGTGTGGGGCCCGGGCTGCCCCAAGGCAAGGCGGATGGGAGGAGGGACTGGCAGAAGTCCCCTCCACCCCGCACCTGTCACACACTGACTTACTTGAGGGTGAGCTTGCTGTTGCAGGTGGAGCAGGAGAAGCAGCTCACACACCAGGCCTTGTTGAGGGCTGACACCACTGTGGGGCAGACGTGGGGCTTAGCAGGCCCGGCCAGGCCGCCACAGGCCCAGCTGTGCAGGGCAGGGCCAGCTGGGCCTGCAGCTGCAGGACTCATGCTCCAGGACAACAGGCAGGCAGGGCAGGGGAGGGAGGGGCTTGGGGACACAGGGGCCTCACCGTCGCCCTCGATCACATGGCTGCAGTTGTAGCAGACATCCCCAAAGAGCTGTGGACCGAGCAGGCTGTCAGTGCGGCCGCAGACAGTCACCGCCCAGCCCCAGGGTGCACCCTGGCCTGGCCTCTCCCCAGGCCTCCCCTTGGGTCCTTTCTGCTGGGCACAGGGGACCCCTGGCCCATCAGATACACCCCCTGGGAAGGACAGCAGGCTGAGGCATTGCTCCCCGAAAGGCCCCTTTGCTCCTGCTGGTGTCCTGCGAGGAGGTGGGCCTGGGTGCTGACCCCGTCCCATCAGCCTTCCCTGCCTTCTGTATCAGAGTGACAGAGCGGGGTGGCTGCTGGCACTGTCACCCCCCCCCCCATGCCCAGGATCTCACGCCACCATCTCATTCGGTCCTCACAACAGGCCTGGGTACAAGGGCACATTTTTCAAACGAAGATGCTGAGGCCAAGAGAGCTGCCCGGGTCTCAAGACCCCAAGCCGGGAGCCAGGGCCAAGGGCACAGGCCTGGGCTCGACGCACCGGCGGGCTCCTGAGGGGTCTGCCTGAAGCCTCTCCCGCTCCCCCGCAGTGCCCCCGCCACCCCGAGGCCTCGCAGGCCCGCCGGCTCACCTGGTTGTAGTGGGTCTCGCAGTAGGCCAGCCCCTTCTTCTCGTAGTGCCGGTGCCCCAGGAACGGCTTCTCGCACTTGGCACAGACAAAGTGCTGGGAGGACAGAGTGCAGGCCAGGTGGCATCAGGGCTGGAGCGGTGACTCCAGGGGACAGTGGTGACCCCAGGAGACAGGAAGCACAGACTGAGCAGGTGGTAGCCTTGCAGGGCTCACACTGGGCAGGGGGACTGACACTCCGTGGATGCCCTGGCGTCAGCACACCCTGCTCCTCCTTTAAGGCACCCACCCACAGTGACATTGCAGGTCACCGTCCTCTCCCAGCCTGGTCTCCCCCTTGGCAGCCCCAGCCGGGGAAGTCAGGTGCCAGCAAGGTGCCATAGCGTGGGGGGCCCTCCCAGGCAGGAGCCCTGCCCATCAGCCTGGTGTCTCCTGGGGCCTCCCCCACACGCCAGGGGTCACTAGGCAGCACCTGCCTGTTCCTCCAGGGCTGCGCGGTGGGAAGGCGCCCTGCCCCGGGAGGGTGCGGTCAGGGCTTGCACCAAGGACCTCAAACAGGCTGCCCAAGGCATAGCTTCGAGACACAGGGCTGGCCAGGCCCCTGGGCACACACTTCCTTCCGAGTGTGTCTGTAAGAACACGATAGCCCACAGTCTGGGGGCCAGTGCTCAGGTGACCCGGGTCACACACCTGAGGAGCTCACCAGCTCCATGTCTACACAGGCTGTGCACACAGCTGGTTCTGTCAACCACAAGCCCACAGGGCGCCCTGGGCAGACTGTCCCCGAAGTCTTCTCCTGGCTTTGGAATCTCCTAGCACGCCGGGAGGGGGAGGAAAGGTGAGCGGGGCTGCCCAGCCATGGCCCGTGGGGTCTGGCTTCCACGGGCAGGCTGGGTCCCCGGCCAGTACAAGGAGGGCCAGCCACCAGGAGGGAGGGCCTTGCTGGGAGCCAGCCACACGGCCTGGGTGGGGGCACAGGGGGGCTGCAGCGCCAGGCTCTGACCGTGACCATGAACCGGGGCACCCCACAACCCAGGCCACGAATCCGCCGGCCTGGCTCACCTCCACGTGCCACTGCTTGCCCAGCGCATTGACCACGCGGCCCTCGATGGGCCGACGGCAGGCCCCGCAGATGGGGACGCCCATCTTGTCGTGGCAAGGCAGGCAGTAGAGCTCGCCCTTCAGCTCACGGGCCTCGGCAGTCAGCTCCTTCCTGGAAGACAGCGTGGACCCTGGGTGTGGTCCCTGCCTCTCTGCAGGGTCACACCAGCCCCTCCGGCCCTGGGGGCAGCTCCCTCAGAGGCTGCATTCTGTCCCAGCAGAGCGCTGCAGCAGGCGGCCCTCTCTGATCTCCGGGCCCTTTGAAGACCTCGTGTGCCCCAGACAGCCCTGGAGCGCAGCCGGGGCAGAAGGGCGCCTGTGTTCTTTGCGGCCCGGCCTCTCAGAGGCAGGTCTGTTCTTGGGCCCCTCCTCCTCTAAACCAGACTGGGCGTCTGGGGCAGGCACACAGGGGACTGGAGGGGACCAGGCCATGGCTCTGCAGCCGCTCCCCCACTCCACAGCCAGCACAGCCCCGCTCAGGGAGCGCTCTGCTGTCCCCTGACCCTGTCCTCCACTCCATCTCGCCACCCAGCCAGCAGTGCAGGGGCCTAGCCACCACCCTGAGTCTCAAGTGACCCCCAAACAGAGCCCTGAGAGGGGTGCTTCCTGCTCCACTCTGCCCTTCAGCCCCGTGCCCCACTCTCCAGACCCCCTCGGACCCCCGCTCACCTCTCCCGGCTCCCCCTGCCCTGCCCTGGCTCTGGGCGGTCCTGGCTGTCCGCCTGCCCCGTCGAAGAGTGGGCTGCGACCTACCCGCAGTGGGTACAGCTGAAGTGGTCGGGGTGGTAGGCGTCGTTCCTGAACATGAGGGGCTGCTCATCGATGACCAGGTGGCACCGCTGACAGATGTACTTGCCCAGGCCCTTGGCCTTCTCGCGGTTGTGGCAAGGCCGGCAGAGGTGCCTGTGGGAGGCGGGAGGCGAGGGCGGGCCTTAGGGACAGAGCCCCTGCCCCCGACCCCCTGCGGCTCCGCTGAGTGCCTGGGCTTGGCCCAGGGCCCCGCACAGGTGACCCAGTCACCGCCTGGAAGGCACAGGTGAGCCCCGGAAAAGGAACCTGTGCTCGGGAAAACACCAGAAGCGAAGTCGCCAGAGGGCTGTGCCTGCTGTCTGTACGTGGGGGGTTTCTTCTTTCCCCTTGTCTGAGCCCAGGACACAGGCCGTGTGGAATACAGCAGGTGTTTAAATGACATTTGCTGAAAAAGTAGTTTTATTTGTCAAATGTCCCTGACATACACAATTTCTAGCAAGTGGTCCTGTGCCCAGGAGAGTGGCAGTGAGTGCCAGGCCGTGGGGCCCGCACACCCCCTTCCTTCGGGGTCCACCGGATGAAGAGGGGCCCAAGCACACACAGGCACTTTCTGTCTCCAGAGACAAGCACGGCTATGTCAGACGGAGGCCCCCAAACCCACAACTGCCACGACAGAGTCTTTTTTGTGGAGACCTCGGAGTAATTTCTGATGCTGCTCCCTGCGCTGGGCAGCAGCTGCGGTCTCAGCTGAGAGAGAGATCAGCATGGTTTCTGTTTCCTCGGGCCGCCAAGGTGGCAGGAATTTAGATCCAGGGTCCCTGGGCAAAAACACACAAAGGCCCCATCCAACGCCCTCCAGTGCCCGTCCCCCACCTGCCGCCTGATCTACAATGTGCTCCTGGTGCCTCTGGGTCCCCTCCCAGGCCCCCAAGCCACAGGGGAGCCTCTGCACCCTGCACGGCCTCCACAGCGACCTGACTCCCAGCACCGGCACCTTTCGCACGCTGGTCAGGGAGTCTGCTTAAGACACTAAGTCCCAGACTCGAGTCCCCCAGCCAGATACAGCGAGCACACCCCAGATGCCAGGCAGCCAGCTCGGCACCCCGCCCGGACCCCGACGCCTGCCACCTGGACTCCGTCCTGCACAGGGCCACGCTCCGCTTGCCCTGGGGTGTCTGATCGTCCCAGCTGGTGCGTAGGGCAAGGGCCCAAGTGAGGTGCCCAGCTGACTGGCACTCCGCTGTGCCCCCACTGGACCCCACGTGCCCAGCACGGGGCAGCGGGTCAGGGTCAGTTTGTTAAACGTGCGAGTGAATGAATGATTGTGCCAGAGAGGGAGGGACGACGGGCATCATCTCGGTGTGACAGGTGGCCGAGCCCAGCTGTCTTTACCCCCACAGTGGGCAGTAGGTGTGGCCTACGGCTGCATCCCTCTTCCCGGTGACCCCTGGAGCCCACCCTCTCCAGACACCTGTGCTCCACCCGCACCCCGGGCCACCTCCATGGTCTCTGTCACAGGCAGGGCATTTGCTCCCCATAACCCTTCTCCCAGGTGTGGTGACCCCTCCTTGGCATCAGGACAACATTCAACCCACATGGAATAAGTTCTGCTTCAAAGCTATAGAAATTAGCTTGACTCCCCGAGACGCCATTGCAATGGTCAATGCCTCCGAGGCCACCGTCAGTGGTCACCCAGTAGCAGAAGCTCTGTGAGCCAGAAACGCCCTGCTCAGGGCAGCCAGTGGCAAACAGCCACACTTCCGACCACCGTGAGCCACTCGCAGGGCCCGAGGGAAAGGGACCCCGCCCAGCTCAGACACCTGCACACGCCTCCGGCTCCCAGACAGTCCGAGCTGAGGAGCCTGTGTCTCTTGAAGGAACCCCAGATGGGAAACGCCTTCTCCACAGACCCGATCTCGGCACCAGATCCAAAGGTGACCTTCAGAATTTTTTTCCAGGTAAAATTAAGGTGGAACCTAAGGATTCTAGATTCAAAATGCAACAGAAAAACAAGCAAACGCATACACAAAGCTGAAGTGCTGGAGTGGCGCACGCTTGGGTTCAAATCCCGATTCTGTCTCTTCCTAGCGTTTGCCATGGGTGAGTCTCAGTTTCCTGGTCTGTAAAATGGGGCAATACCCCAGCTCCACAGAGTCACATGGGGAGACAAATTGAAGATAGTGCACGTGGTAGTTATTCCCTAAATGCCAGCCACATACAGTTTTCAATGTTGTCACTAAAAAATTTTAAGGTTTTTGAAATTGGGAGCGGCGATTTGGTTCCCCGTGTTACTGGATTCATCTCTTTGGGGAAGATAAGGAGAAATGAGCATTGTCCACAGTCTCAGGAGCAACCACTGGTGACACCCAAATGCACGCCAGCCACCCAGGGAGGAGTCGTGGGGGCCGGCAGGCAGCGGGGCCTCTCCACAGCCCCCGCCAGTGGGGAGGCCTCGCAGGGGAGCCAGGCCTGCGGCTGAGCCGCGTCCCCGCAGGCGAGACAGCGCCCCATTATGAGGCTCCCGCAGCTGCGCCCTGCTCCAGAGAAAGCCGGCGATTTATTCCGAACACCCAAACGGGGCCTAATTATACAGGGCAGGACACAAGGCCCCTACGGCAAGTGTCCTGAAAGAGTCCCCTCTCACTCGACCCGAACAAGACTGCTCGGCCTGCCCCCTCGGCATTCACAAGACCCCCTCCTCCTCAGCCCAGCAGTCTTGGAAGCGCTGGCCTGTTGCCATGGCAGCCAGCCCCCCACCCCCGGCCCCCCATCAGTGGAAGTCGTCCCCTTCTGAAACGTCCTCTGTGTCTGTCAGTTCCAGCCCGAGCCCCCACTGGCCCTCGCCCACTCAGAGGCTCCGAAGACAGTCACACACTCAGCCTCTGTGACGCTGAGCAGCCAAGCTGGGGGGGACAGGCTGCGGACACACTGGAATATTCACAGCCCTGGTGGCGGCAGTGGCAGCCAGAGGAGTGGTCCGCCACACAAGGGACCCCTCAGGAATGAAGTGGCCTTTCAGGGCCAGAGGGGCTGCGGCCTCCCTTCCTCCCCTTAAATAGCCAGCCTTCCACCCACAGCTGCACAGAGCCCACCGCCGGCACCGCCACCCACACCACCACCCACGGGCACAGCGCACCTGCCACCCCGAAGACTCCTGCCCCTTCCTCCCAGACCCCGCTCGAGGTAAGGGGCGGGCCGGGCGGGGCTGGCCGGGAGCCCAGGGGCCCAGCCAAGGAAGCACAGCAGGGGAGCCGGCCAGGTGGAGACAGGGCATCGCTTGCCTGTCTCTGTCTCTTTGATAACGGTGTGGCCTGTGTCTTGAAGGCTGAGCACAGTCTGAACTTACAGAGGCCCACCGGCAGTGATTTTGTCCCTCTGTCGGGGGCCTGCAAAGCGCAAGTGGCTCCCACAGTCCCACGCTGCAGTGACCGCCGGAACCCAGCACCCTGCCCATTGGGCAGCCTTGGCACAAGCAGGAGCCAGACGAAGGAGCCTGCCTGGGAGTAGGGCTCAGGCCGGGGAGGGACAGGTGCGCAACGCGGAGGAAAGTGCTGCCACCACAGGCTCCTCCCGCGGCCACGCCTGCCCAGCACCCCTCCACGGAGGCCCCAGACCTGTCCCTAAGCTGCCTAGGCCCTGGCTGCACCCCATGCCCCTCCCCTAGGTCACCTGCTCGGTGTTGGTCGGAGCAGTGAGCCTCCAGGAACAAGCTTGTAAGGGACACGGGAGAGAGAGGCGGGGGCCGGTCTCAGATCATACTGCAAAGTCAGTGCCGGAACTAGATGACTTTCAGAATCAAATCTCAGTCCGGGCTGGGAGGCCACCTGCGAGCGAGCGGGAGGCGCGCAAGGCTGCAGGCCTGCCCAGAGCCACGGGGTGTGTGAGCCCCGCAGTCCCACGGGGCCCCACTGGGGTTCAAGCTCTGCTGTTGCTGTCTTGAAATTCCTGCTTTTTGAGCAAGGAGCTGCACCTATTCGTCTCACACTGGCACAGCAGCCCTTGTCCCCCTCGTCTTCGGCAGCAGTCCTGCGGCCAGGCCTCCGCAGCTCTAGCGAGAGCTGGGACAAAGCCACCAAGCCACACTCCCAGCTCCGGCCCCGGTCCTGGCAGCCCCCAGAGGCCAGGCAGTGTCCTGAGCTTTCCTGGGTCTGACTCCCAGCTCCAGGGCCACTGCTCCCTGGACAAGTGACCTCAGGCAAGTTAGCATGTGCTGAGCTTTGATGCTCCGACTGTGAAATGGGGCCGCTGATGCCGTCCTCTTAGGGCTGGTGCGAGAGCCAGTGCAGGCAGGCCCTCGCCACGCCAGGTGGTGTGGGTGGTCGCACCTGTCTGCCCGCCCTCCTCGCCACTCCACCTTGGCTGCCGTCCTTCCTGTACCCGAGCACCGGCCAGAGCCCTGCTCGTCTGGTCTTCGGTCTCCTGTCCTCGCCCCGGCACAGCCACAGGCCCGCCCACCAGCACCTGCTCTCTCCTCCCTGCCCCTGCAGGCCCTCGCTGTAGCAGGGCTGTGTCCCTCCCTCCCTCCCACATCCATGCCCCTCTCAGAGGCCCTCACAGCCCATCCCCGGGGCTCCACTCGAGCCTGTCTCCAGGCACTCACCTGAGCTCCCAAAAGTCACCCTACATCCTGCACCCCTCAGCTGTCCAAGCCCCCTCCCACGGTTTAGCAGTCCTGGGAGTGTCAGCTGAGACCCTTTCAAGTCAGAGGACTGTGGCATCTGGATTCCCACGGGGAACGTGCACTTGACTACAACCTAGGAGCAGACCCCAATTCCTGTGAGCAGCAGGAAAATAGTTCAGCCCGAAACGCTCTGGAGCTGGGGCAATCTCCGGGGCAGGTGAACTTCCCGGGATCCCTCACATGGTTAAAAGGAGATGTGACAGGCAAGCGCCCTCCTGCCCTTTGCCTGAGGACATCAGCTGGCCCGGTGCCCAGGCCGGCCAGCCCTCTCCTCCACGGGGGAGGACCCTGCACAGCACGCCCGCTCCCCACTGAAGGGGGCGCCGGTCCCTCCCCACACGCCTCCAGCCTGTTTCTCTTCCACGCCAGGACAGCACCCAGCCTCCTCAAGGGGCTGCTGTGCCGTCCTCCTGGCCCTGAGGGAGTACACTGAGATGCAGCATGGTGAGGGGCGTCAGGTTTCCGGGTCACCTGGCACCAGGCCCAGGCCCTCGCCTGCCAGGCAGGGACGCAGCTGCAGCAGTGGGGAGCTCTAAGGCCTGGTTTTGCTTTGCCTGTTGCTGGAGTTCAGAATGCCTGTGACACTCGCCCGCCCCCACAGACAGGGAGGTCCCTCAGCAGTCCAGAGGCAGTGCCCCTGAGCTGGGTGACGGTCTGCAGGCACCAGAGGCCTCACTTCTGGACACCTGGAGAGTGTGAGGCTTCTGTGACCCATTTGCTTGTCCCTTGCAGGCTTGGCCCCGGGCTCTGCCTCCAGCCAAAGCATGAATGGCCCCGAGGTGGCCTCCCCGGCTCTGATGGCCAATGCGTCCCTGGCCGCCACGGAGAGGTGCGGCCAGGAGACGCCACTGGAGAACATGCTGTTCGCCTCCTTCTACCTCCTGGATTTCATCCTGGCTTTTGTTGGCAACGCCCTGGCCCTGTGGCTTTTCGTCCGGGACCACAAGTCAGGCACCCCGGCCAACGTGTTCCTGATGCACCTGGCCGTGGCCGACTTGTCCTGCGTGCTGGTCCTGCCCACCCGCCTGGTCTACCACTTCTCTGGGAACCACTGGCCGTTCGGCGAGATCCCGTGCCGGCTCACTGGCTTCCTTTTCTACCTCAACATGTACGCCAGCATCTACTTCCTCACCTGCATCAGCGCCGACCGCTTCCTGGCCATCGTGCACCCGGTCAAGTCCCTCAAGCTCCGCAGGCCCCTCTACGCCCACCTGGCCTGCGCCTTCCTGTGGGTGGTGGTGGCCGTGGCCATGGCCCCGCTGCTGGTGAGCCCGCAGACCGTGCAGACCAACCACACGGTCGTCTGCCTGCAGCTGTACCGCGAGAAGGCCTCCCACCATGCCCTGGTGTCCCTGGCCGTGGCCTTCACCTTCCCGTTTGTCACCACGGTCACCTGCTACCTGCTCATCATCCGCAGCCTGCGGCAGGGCCCCCGTGTGGAGCAGCGCCTCAAGAACAAGGCTGTGCGCATGATCGCCATGGTGCTGGCCATCTTCCTGGTCTGCTTCGTGCCCTACCACGTCAACCGCTCCGTCTACGTGCTGCACTACCGCAGTGGTGGCGCCTCCTGTGCGGCGCAGCGCGCCCTGGCCCTGGGAAACCGCATCACCTCCTGCCTCACCAGCCTCAACGGCGCCCTCGACCCCGTCATGTACTTCTTCGTGGCTGAGAAGTTCCGCCACGCCCTGTGCAACCTGCTCTGCGGGAAGAGGCTCACAGGCCCACCCCCCAGCTTCGAAGGGAAAACCAACGAGAGCTCGCTGAGTGCCAGGTCGGAGCTGTGAGCCCCGGTGCCACCCGGGCCAGCCACAGACTGGCTCCCCCAGGCTACTCGAGAGAAGCCCGCCATCTCCCAGCCACCTCCTGAGTAAATAGCCTGAAACCTCAGCAGGTCCCTACCTGTCCCTCCGAGGCCTGAGCCCCTAGGTCACCCAGCTGTGCTCAGTCTTAACCCCTAAAAAAGGAGAACCAAAAGTAGGGATCGCCCAGCCACCCCCTGCAGGGACAGCCTTGGCTTACTGCTTCCTACGGCTCCTAGACATTCAGTGACTTCACCCGAGGTCAGGCGGCGGGGGAAGGGGACCAGGGGAACAATTCCTTCACAATGAGGGTCTTTCTTCCCTGCTAGTCTCCTTCCCACTACAGAAATGCACAGCTTTGAGCCGCTTCCCTCGCCAGCACGCATGTGTCGCCCTGACTTGGCCTTTTTTGTACTTGTTTGTACAAATCATAAACACAACCGTAGCTTTAGGACTACAAAGGTTACCGTGTTTGGCCTACATGAAGCCCTTCCCAGAACTTCTCCTCCCTTCAACCCAAGAATAGCAAAGCAGTGGCACAGGAGGCAGTGGCGGAGGCGTGGGCTCTCCTTCTAGGGTTGTGGCGGCCCCAGGGCACGTCTGCCCCAGGCAGACCGTGAGGTTCTGCGCTGGGGTTCCGAGAGCCAGGGTGGGCCGGGGAGGCCGGGCGGGGCTGGCGTTCCTCACTCACTCCAGCTGCTGCCCTGCCCGTCAGAAAGGAACACTTTCGTGTCAGCTTTTACTTTCCAGCGCACTTCTGGCCTCTTCCGGACTCCCCCAGCCAGTCTGAGGGGCAGCAGCCGTGTGCCAGCCTCGGCTTGGGAGGGAGACTGGACTCGCTGCTGGCACATACCCGGTCCGTGACCCTGCCGGTCAGCACAGTTCCCGGAGCTGCCTCTCGGCCCCTGCACTGCACCCCCTGCCCCCATGGCCCCCGCTTGGATGCGGGCCACGTGTTTGTCCGCGGAGTGGCGCACGCCCCGGCAGCGCGGGCGAAGAGCCGAGGAGGAACTCCAGGAGGGAACGGAGTGCCAGACAGGAGACCGTGTGCCGGGGCGCGTGGCCAGGGGTCTCTGGAGGGGGTGCTGCCTCTCGCTGACATGGGAGATGCACGGGGGAGCGGACTTGGTCCTCAGTGGAGAAGAAATTCGCAGCTCATTATGGGATGCCAGTGGGTGCCAAGTGGAGATGGCACATGGGCAGCTGAGGACAGCAAGGCAGAGGTCTCAGGCTGTCCAGACACTGTGCCCTTGGGGCTCTGGACTCTGTCTGCAAGGGCAGCCACGAGGACTGAGCACAGAGCCCCGCACGCCCATCACGGAGAGACGGGGAGGAGAGTGAGTGGGTGCAGCCACGAAGCCGGAGGAACCATGAGAACTCAGGGTCCCAGGTGCCAGGAAAGGAAGCGTTTCTGCGCCTCAGCAGCTGCAGTGAGAGCTGCTGAGAGGTCTGGGGCAGTGGGAACGCAGGGGAGGAGCCGGTGGGTGTGCTGGGAGGAAGGCCAGAGGGTGCTGTGAGCTGGGGCTCCCCAGCCCGCCTTTAGAAGGGGGAAGAAGGGAGAGGAGAAGCGAGTGCTGGAGGCGGCGCAGGGTGAGCAGGCCACGCTCCACAGAGGCAGGGCCGCAGGTGCTGGTCGGGGTCCCCAGAGCTTGTGCTCCGGGGACCATCCGGAGGGGGAGAGTGAGGCCACCCACTGCGGGGGAGGACACAGAGGGCAGTGCGGGGAGGGCCAAGATAGCAAGCCTTCTGGGAAGGGACAACTCCCTGAGTGCCCTGAAGTCTGTGGCCCTGACTTGAGAGTAAATTCGGGCACCCTGGTTGAGTAATTCGCTCCAGGACACTCAGCCCGTGGGTACAGGCAGAGGAGGTGGCCAGGCGGGGTCAGCGGGTGGGGTGGTTGGGGGCATTTCTAATGCCTCCCGCGAGGCTGTCAGCAAGGAGCGCTCGAGCCCGGGCCCTCCCTGAGCAGGCTCCAGCTCCGTCCTCGCCTGCTGCACCGCACCCTGCGAGGGGCTCGGTACAGGCAGGAGAGCCTGGAACGTGCCTGGCCCTCCGCAAGCGGCACCTGCAGCAAGGGCCCTCCTGCCCGCCGGGAGCCGCCACCTCACCTGCCCGCGTTCTTCACGAAGCCCAGGTCAGCCAGCTCCACGTCGCACAGCTCGCAGCGGAAGCAGCCCGGGTGCCAGTTGTTGTTCATGGCCTTGATGACGCGGCCAATGATGAACTCACCTGGGAGAGGAGGGGGCCCTGTGGCCGGGCTGGCGTGGGACCCCCGGCCCCCCCCAAGCATGGTCCGCGCTAGCGCTCCGCCTGCCCTCAGCCTGGCCCCGCGCGCCCGGTGTGGGGAGGTGGAGCCTGCAGGGTGGGCGGGCAGGGAGGGGCCCCCGGCACCCCCACTCCCCAGGCAGTGCAGGGGGTGTTGTCGCCGCCCTTACCGCAGGATCCACAGCACGGAGCAAACAGCATTTGGAAGTCGTGTTCACAGTACTTCCGGCCTTCGAACTGCAGACGGGGCCACAGAGAGGACAAGCAAACCACTCATCGTTCCCACGAGCCGACCTGGCCCTTGTCCTTGAGACGAGGGCATTCCAGGCTGAGCTGGGGCAGCGGGTCCCAGGCCTGGCCAGCAGAGGGGACTGGCCCACTTGGGATGGTGGGTGCACAGGGAGGGGCCTCGGACGGAGCTGGAGAGGTCAGCAAGGCCAGGGACAGAGCAGGCCAGGGAGGGCGGAGACCACGTCTGAAGTGTGTGCGCCACTTGGCCCTGTTTCCCATGTCTTCTCTGGGTGAGAAGCCCAGCTCCCCAGAGGCCACAAAGACCCAGGGAGGGGACAGAAGAAAGGGAACACTGGAAGGGCCCAGCGGGAGGGCCACGGGAGGACACAGAGTCCCAGGCCAGCACACCAGTGTGCACACTGCTGGGCAGCCGCTGCTGGCAGTGAGGCCCCTCCTCTGGCCCCACGTGTGGCCAGAGCCTGCCTCTGCCTTCTTCTCCTTTAACAATTTTATTTTCTTTTTTTAAGTTTGTTTGTTCCCTGTTCTCTAAAATGAGTGTCTTATTAGGGTGCAACTGGATATAGCTTACCTGGTGACCTGTAGAGGCAGAAGGTCAAACTCATTCAGCAACCAATATCTCCTAGGCACCCACTGAGTGCCAGGCTTTGTTCGAGGCAAACGGCCTCCCCTCCCAGAGCTCTGCCCACCCCTCCACTGACTCCACAGTGGGACAGCATTTCCTAGGAGGCTGAAGGCACCAAGAGGAAGGGCTGTCCACCTCTACCGGGCACATGGCACACCCCACATCCAGCCACCAGCCAATCCCATAGGCTCTACCTCAAAATATCACTATGTCCAGCATCTGACCCGGGTCCCCACCGCCACTGCAACCACCAGTGGTGTGCTGGTAAATGTTTGACAAGTCGCTCTTTGCAGGGGGTGGGGTGGGGGCACTGATGTGTAGTGTTTGCCAATTTCCGTGTTTGCCAATTTCCGTGTTTGCCATTTTCCACCACAGCCAATTTCAAGCTGCAACATGACCTCAACGTGCAGCTGAGATGTGCTGTAGCCACCACATCAGAATGGTGGACAGAAATAACCCCGAAAGCATAGATGATAGTAAAATGTAACAAAATAATTAGGAAGTGGCACGTTATAAGTATTTGTTACCTTCGTTTTTAATAAAATTTCATCTCGTTTTACGTTTATATCATTTAAGTTTTAATAATAGCTGTGTTTCACAACCAGTCTGCAGATTACTGAGGATCTAAAGACCTGCTCTTGTGAGTTGTAGGGGCTCCCCTTCACTCCCATGGGGACCACCGCAGTGATCCAGCACCTGGGCCCCCCAGTCTCCCGCCTCTGTCCCTGCCCCCTTACAGTCTCTGCTCGGCACAGCGCCCAGAGGAGTCCTGCTCAAATGGGCAGACAGTGTGACCCCTACTGCACACGCTAGGTGGCTCGTCTGTCCTAGAGCAGAAGCCGAAGGCCCCGCAGAGGCCCATGGGGCCAGATGAGACCTGCCTCCTCACCCTCATCTCCCGCCCCTCTCCTTCTCGTTCCCCGGGCTTCCATCACACCAGCCCTCCTACCACACTCCAAATGCCCCCGTGTGCTTCCACTGCAGGGCCTTTGCACGTGCTGTGCCCCTTGCCGAGTGCTCTTTCTGCAGAGCTGTGTATGGCTGCCGCCCCTCAGGTCTGCCCACGTTACCTGCCCTGAGCGCCCACCTCCCCTCTGAGATCTCTCACTCCCAAAGCATCGGCACCGTCCGACAGACCGAGTAGCCGCTGTGTTTCCTGTCTGATCCCAACAAAGGGCCTGCCCAGCAACTGCCCAGAGGAGGCTGGGTGAAGGGTGACTCTCCTTTGACACCCATGGCAACCAGGGTCATGGTTCACGTTTCACAGGTGAGGGATGGGCCCGAGCAGGAGTGGCGAGCGAGCACGGCTCTGTGCTGGCTCAAGGCCCACCCGGTCCTGCTGGCACCTGGAAGGCAGACTCTGAGCTGGGTCTGTGACGGCGCCGGTGCCCCCTGCCCCAGGAGCGTGCTCACCTCGTAGAAGAGCCCCTCGGGGAACGGCCGGAAGCACTGGGCGCACACGAAGCAGTGCTCGTGGTACAGCTCCCCGCTGCTGTGGACGATGCGCTCGGCAGGGGCGAAGCGGGCTTGGCAGCGCTGGCACACCGCGTTAGCCAAGGCGTCTGACATGTTGCTGGGGGAGGGGAGAAGGAGGCGGAGGTCAGGCCCGGGTGGGAGCAAGGTGGAGCAGCTGGGAGGCTGTGCCCCGTGGACACGCCTTGCTCTTGAAAGGATAAAATGCCTTATAGGTTAAGGCAGATCGCTTCGGCTCCGTCCCCAGGCAGCTCAGTCTCCGCGGTGCTGCGCCGTCTCCTGGGCTATCAGTGGCCACCTCGGCTCCCACTCAGGCCACCTATGGCCCCTTCCTCAGGGCCCAGAGGGTCTCTGGGGTGTAGAACGTCACCCAGCTGCAGGCGAGCGGCTCTGCATTCACACCCATATTTAATCCCAGAGGTAACCCCGTAGCTACTATTGTTGCCACTGTCTTCCGGATGAGAGACCTTCGCCTGAGAGAGTGTGAGCGTCAGCACTGCGCCCAAGCTCTCAAGCAGGTGGCGGAGTCCAGACTCGAACCCAGGCTGGTCAGACTTCTGGGTTCCTTCTGCACCATGAGCTAGTTCCAATCTACTGCCCCCAAATACACGTAACATCCCAACCATGGAGAAGGCAAGAGCATGACTCCCAGGTGGGGACGGATGAGGGGAGCAATCTTTTCATCCATGCTGGGCAACTGCCTGTCCCAGGGCAGGTGTGGGCTTTCTTCCGGGAGGAGTGGAACGAAACCTCAACTAGAGGGGAAAGGCCCACAGCCAGCCAGGCCCACACTCACTCCAGCCCAGGAGGGGCCCTTTTGGACCCAAGAGTGTGGTCAGGATGTGGCCCCAGACACCCTGCCTGCCTCTTCAACCTCTGGCGACGCTGGCACCCGAGCCTTCTGCTAGGAGAGCGGCACGCAGGTTCTGTCTCAGCATCACCTCCGGTGAATCGGGGTGGCTGCCTAGAAGGCAAGGCAGAGAGGGGTGGCCGGACTCACCGAGCAGCGATGCAATCGGCTGGTAATGTCTGCCCATGGTGTGGCTGGAGAGAGGCGCTCAAGCTCAGAGCCTTTGAGACTGTCTTTCCAGCCTGCCCTGCCTCCTGGGGACGGAATCCCATCAGTCACTTGCCCACTGCTGCGCCACCATGAGCAAATGCTTGAGCAGGGGAGGCTCTAGGAGCGCCTGTGGGGGGGCCAGCCTGAAGGGTGTCAACCATGGGGAAGAGGGGTCCTTAGATGGGCCCAGGCAGTGGAGAAGAGGGCTGCCTCTCGGGGCCTAAGGGGTGGGGGCGGGGGCAGTGGGCCCTACAGCGGGTGCTGCCACAGGGAGATGGACTGGAAACTGGGAAGGGCACCCAGGTGGAATACCCTCTCTCCTCTGCTTAGGGACCCATGTGTCAGGGGCAGGGCTGGAAGGCCACTCAGCAGGCCTCGCCAGGACTTCTGCATGCCTCAGTCTGCCCTCAGGTGTGCTCCAGGGACCAAAGCCACCCCCTGTGTGCACATTTAGGCTAGAGGGGTGAGGAAGCAGGGATGGTGGCAACAGGAGTTGGGGAGAGCCGAAGATGGAAGGGAGCCTCAGTGCCCAGGGCCACTCCCCAGCCGTCCCCAGCTCCCTGCTGGTCTCCACCAGGCGGGCTGGGCAGGCCATCGGCGACGAGGCCTGGCGGCCCCAAGCCACCCCAAAGGGCTGGGCTGGATTTTGGCAGGACAGGCTTGGTTTCCTTCCCAGCGAACACACCCCCAAGGTGGCAGGGAGGATGTCCCAACACCCGCCCAGTGAGCCTTGGAGAGGTCAGAAATCAACAGGAAATCCTGCAACTCTGGGCCTGGAATTCCTTACTCCACAGATGCAGAAAATGCAGCCAAACTAAGAATTTCAGTCCAGCCCCAGCCTTTCGAGTTGCGCTGAAACTCAGACCTCTCCTCCGGGCCCATGTGAGCGCACGGCGTGGCTCATCTCCCGTTTGCCCCTCCAGACCCCTGCTCTCTGCTGGGGAGGCAAGCCCTCGCCCTCTGGCTTCCAGCTGGGCTGACTCAACTCCCACCAGCCAGTTGCTGCTGAACACCGGACCCCCCATTCTAGTCACTGTCACTTCCTGAGTCCCCTCCCATCTTCCTAGATAGACCCTGTTACACTCCCCTCTGTCGCTCCATTTGACGGTGACGTGTGTTTCTCACCAGGACCCGGCCACAGCCCGCTCCCTCCACCTTCCCGTCGACCTTCCAGCTGGCATCCCAGCAGCCAGCCCCTACCCAGAGGACTGCCCCAAAACTGGTCTGTCTCGTTCCCTGGCTGGGTCCCCGGCGACCTCGGGTGGGGGATACTGCCACCTGTGCCCCACATGCCTCGCATAAGCCCTGGCACAGCCCTAGTCTCGGGCAGCAGAACCCCCAACGGCAAGTCCATGAGAGGCTCTGTGGCTGCTTCCCCATGACACCCTGCTGGGAAACACAGAGAACATTCCAACCCCCCGGCAAAGACAGGGATGGGTGACATCGGAAGGCGCCCAGACAACTGAACCTCAGCACCATCGGAGAAAATGCCAGCCGTCTCCTGCGGGGGAGGAAGGGAGGCAGCAAGGCCCCAAAAGATGAGCAGAGACTCCAGGCTCACCCTGCCCAGCTCTAATCCTCACAGCCCAGCCCGGCCACCACTGTGGGACCTGGAAAAGGGCTTCTCCGGGCCTCACTTCCTCTTCGGTGCGGAGGGGCACCAGAGTGACAGTACAGCCTTAGGGAGCCGAAGCGGAGAATGCCCGGCAGAAGCATGCCCGGCCCGGATAAAGAGGGCTGTTGTTTCCCAGCAACCTGGGAGCCTTCCAGAGTCCCTCTGCCACGGCCAGTCCTGGGGAGGCCTGCAGGCTGCCTGGGCGCCCGGCGAGGGGCACAGGGTCAGAGACACGGACATTCTACATCCTCCTCCGCACATTCCAGCCAAAGAACAGGGAGCACGAAGTCTGCCCAGCTCCCCGCAGGAGACATCAGCGCCCAGCCCCAGCACAGCCACACAGAACGCACCACCCGGGACACACAGCGTGGGAGCCAAGCCCCGGAGCCCGGGAGTGCACACCATCTCACACCTCTTCACCCAACCTACCCAGCACCCAGAAACGATCTCAATCTTAATAGCCAACACAAGCCGATTTTTTGCAAGATGTCCCTGAGCTTTATGATTGTCAGCCTGGGGTGGGGTCAAGGGAGCCATCCCTGTGCCTGGTCCCTGTAAGGAGAGGTTGCTGGTTCCAGATAAGGAACTTAAAGCACAGAGAGGGTCAGTAACCTGCTGAAGGTCACACAGGATTGGACTTAGGCTCCCTCCTGTCCCCTCCTGTGGCATCCCATAGGCACAGCCATTCAAGACTGTTTGTTCAACAACCCCAGACCTTCCTCTGTCCCAGCCTCCCACCCACCCGAGCCTAGGAAGACAGTGTGAGGGCCTGGGAAGAAGCAGGGGCCAGCCACAGGGCGTCTGTCACACATGAGATGAGCCAGTGTTGCTGAGGCTGTGTCAACCTGGGCAGCAGACCAAGGGTGTGTGCTCTACAGCCAGGCAGACCAGCTCCCAGGCTGTGCGACCTGCAGCAGAGTGGTCTCTGACCCTCAGTTTTCCCATCTGTAAAATGGGCCAGCAACAGCTACCTGCAGGGGCTGTTGGGAGGGTCGAGTGAGGTAACACCTACAAGCACAGCCCACGCTTCCCTCCTTCATGCGACACAACTTCACTGAGCACCCACACTGTCGCGGGCACCATTCCAGGTGTCGGGGACAGGTACTCTGCTGCAGCGCAGCCCAGAGCGAGCAGCACTGCCTGGGCCTCCTCCCCTGCCCCTCCATGAGGCCAGCCAGAAGCCAGAGTCAGGGGCCACCTGGCTGCACACAGTCAACATAGATTTACACAAAGCCAGCCCCACACCCTGCCACGGGGACGCTAGAAAATTAACACTCTGCTGTGGGCTGCAGTATACACATGAATGTATCGACACCATCAGAAACATACTCCAGACGTACATGAAAGCTGTCCAAAATAGAGATTTTTCTGAAGCCATAGCCGTACGGACCTCTTGGCTCTAGCAGCTTCATTTACTTTTAAGCAGGTACACTTTAAACGTGTCACACTGACAATGGAGAACTGGCAAACGGCGTGAACCGGAAGCTCAAAGAGCAGCAAAATCGAGCAGCGTACAGCATGTGCATGCTTCACGGGACCGTCCTGAGGCCTGATACTCGTCGTCATGCCCTTGCATCCTGGCCATGTTTTTGTGTTGCCTCCATACCGTGGAAATCGCTCTCCAGCAAGGCCTCTGGCCTGTCAGTGCCCTGGCCGCCCACCGCCTGGTACCACCGTCACGCCCCAGACGTCCAGGGTCATCCAGGGGCCAACAAGTGAGGGTGCCTGTTCCAGCTCTGCTATGCGCAGGTGAGTTGGTCTCCCCAGCCTTGGGTTCCCCACCTGAACAAGGGGCTCATCCAGTTCCCTCCCAGGCGGGATCCCAGCACACAGCAGGTGCTGCACCGACGGCCGCCCCGCAGCCTGCAGCTCCCACTCCCTACCCAGCACCCGCCCTCTTCCTCTGTTCTTAGCCAAAGACACCTTGATGGTTCAGTCTCTAATTCTCCTCTGGCAGCCTTCCCTGACCCTGGGCACACAAGGAGCTCAGAGCAGGCTGTATTTTCACTGGGTAGCATTAGCTCCTGCTTTCCTTTCCTCCCTGGGTCCCCCAGCTGCTCCCCCTACCTCTGCACTGCTGCTGCCTGGCCCCCTCGCTGGCCCCCTAGCCCCTCCTCCAGCCTCCTCTCCCACAGTTCCTCTCCCACTTCCTCCCCTGGGGACCCATCTGCCACTTTGATGCAATGACCCCAAGCCCACAGCCCCACTGCTCTCTCTTCCCAGTTTCTACGGGACGCTTCCCCTGAGATGGCCCTGGAGCACTGCAGACCCAGCACGTCCAGGAGCCCCGGACCCCAGCTCTGGGAAGCCACACTGCCATTCAGCTCCCCCTCCCGACCTCCCCACCCCTGCTAACCTAGCCTCTGAGGTGCCCTGACTACCCACCCCCCCCCAGCCCAAAAAGAGCCTGTCTACACAGGCAATT